ATTCTATTCACTTGTTCTCGCATAACGCCTTGCAAATCGGCAGCCTTATTTCATTTCTCGATTTCAATTTGGACAGTTTTTTTGGAGAGTTTTTTTCTTAGCTAAGACGCGTCTTATTAGATAAGACATGCTTGTATAAATGGTACAGTTCGCGTCTTATTTAAGACGCGTCTTATTTTTCCTCGTATAAATGGCCCTAATATATTTATTATGAAAACTCTAACCGATTTCCGTAAAACAGTGGAAACCGGTGTAATCCTCGCCTGTAAACGAACGTTTACGGAAATTCAAACGAAATATTGGCACTTGTCCCGGGGGTTCCCCGGAGGGATGGTAACGGGTCAAATTGAACCATGCATTAGCAGCCTCCTCCTCAGGCGCTTCGTTTTTCTCATCGTAGAGGCGAGCGCGAAACGCGTGTGACTGGTGATGAACCGCGACCGCAAGCGACCATGGGAAGGGTAGTGTCCTTCCCGCCTCCCTTTGCGCGCACATTTTCATCGAGAGAGAGACGTCTGGGTACGAGGCAGATGCATTAGCGAATCTTCTTCGTATCTCCTAGCCTGGGCGCTAAGTAATATATAGATTTAGCCAGGGCTAAAAGCGAGACTCCCATTAATATATTTATAATTTAAATCAAACAATAAACTTGTATTCCACAATTCAGTTAACTTTAGAGCACATAAATCAGTGAAAGATTCCGGCAATTGAACTTTTTGACAAAAGGTTCAACTCTGCTGGTTAAAACCAGCAGAAAAACTAAGTTTCTGCATTCATTTTCTGAAGAACAAAATACAAACTTGTTACCTTTTTTTGTCTATGCTTGTCGTTTAGGTTAAAAGTTAAGAAAAGGTACCTTTTTTGGAAAAAGACGTCAGGTATTTTCATCTTTCGAGTGAATCATATTTTGACGTCAATATTGTCCGCTCTTCATCCATTTCTTACTTTACCAAACGATGATTTCAAGCGCGAAGGAGGTTCCCGTATCTTTTTGTCACTTTCAAGCGATCTCATTAAAGGCGCAAAAAGGTACCTTTTTTGCAGTTGGAAGTGATGTTCTCAAAAGCGTCAAAATGGTACCTTTTTGCAGTTGGAAGTGATATTGTTAAAAGTGCGAAAAAGGTACCTTTTTAGAAATATAAAATAGCGTTTTCAAGCTTTTGGGAAGCCATGTAAAATCCTACTGATTGACAGATGTCAACCGTTAACACCTCTTGAGCTTCAATGAAAGATGCAGAGTTTTTTAGCGGATTCTAGGTGATCCTGTTAAAATTGAAATGGTCTACAACGGGAATCAGCGGAGTAAAAAGTTTTAGCTCGCTTCTTTTAGCCAAGATCAAAAGGGAGAAACTATAAGAAATCCGAAAATGCTACCCACCGGCCAAATGGATAAAATGGCTCCTGAAAATAATGTGGCAACTTCTGGTACTTTAATACTAGATGCAAGAAGAGAAGCTCAGCAAGCGCAATAATAAGCGTGGAGCAAATTCTTTAACCTGAAAGAAGTCCTACATGCAAAGCAAAAGTGTTCAGTTTTCTTTTCCTTTAAGTCTAAACTGAGCGGGTTCCGAGCGGGTAATTTTAATAACTATCTTGTTTCGTGGGTGATGTTTTTCACTCCAGAAAGGTTATTAGAGACTTCAATCTTGGGGTTATTTTTGTTTGCTATGATATAAATTGTACAAATAATTAAACTTCTGGTGCTTTTTGAGCTACAGACCGAAGTAACGCCATTAACAGTAAAAATGCCATCATACATGTACCTCTGAATAAAGTAAGCCTGAACAGCTTTCCTCTTCTTAGACTTTTGTACAGCATGCCAGCATTTTTTTCGAGAATTTTGGTGCAATTTCCCGGAATTTTTTTTTTTTCAGAGAAAATGAAAAAGAAAATAAACTCTCAAAAGTCAAAATAAAGATAAATTCAAATGCCACTGTTTAGACAATTGTCTTTTGGTGTATTAAATCCATTAGCATACATTCTGGTTGTTTTAACACTTACACTTATCATCATCTCATCGTCGCGCATTTCAGTGAATTTGTTTAGGGTGAGCATGTTATTAAAAAAAATGGAGCATTAAGGTAAAGCATTTTAGCGAGGAAACAAAAAAAGCATTTTAAATGCACAAGAGCCTGGGGCCCGTTTCTCGAAAGTCCCGGTAACTTTACGGGCCCGAAATCAAATATTCAAAGCGAAATATAAAGAATAAGAGCGCAGGTCCTGGCTAACAAACTACTCCATTTTGTTTCATTAACTGACAGTTTCATCATGTTAGATGCAAAACTATTGAAACCTCGATCTTTAGTGTAAACGGAGACAGCTTACCGGGCCCGTTAATTATCGGGACTTTCGAGAAACGGGCCCCTGGCCCGGCTTCTCTTATGTTGGGCGGTGAAACGAGCGCTCCGCTCTCTATTTAATGTGTGATGCGGAGTAGGACTGGCACGAGCGCTCTTTCCTCGCTTCCGGTGGGCTTGAAGGCCGGCGAAATTTTCCTTTTTGCAAACCGGAAATCCTATTTTCTTTCTGTAATTTCAGGCTACAATGTCAAATAGATAAATTCGTTTCATAACAATATCAATAAACAGTTTCATATGTTTGTGTCTGTATGCGTATAAAACAAACTTGTTGGTCGTATAATGCCAAAAAAAAATTTGAGTTTAATTTGAAAGTGTTGAAGACCTCCTCCTTCCACTAAATATCACCTAATCGTCTTTCGCCTTTTCGTTTGCAAAAGCTTAACACTTCTTAACCTCAATTTTTACATATGTTAAAGGGGGACAAATTTTATATAACATAACAAAAAATTAGATTGATATATTTTGATATAGTGGCGTTGTACGGCTTCAAACTAAGCTTCTCGAGTACAACGCGCCATGGCGATTCGCGCAATGCGTCGCAAATCCGGCAACCGCATGTAAGCAAAATTTATTGAGGTTAGTTGTAAGGTTTTTTCTCCGTTTTTCTCTCGAAAACAAAACAAGGTAAAGAGTAAAAACTGAGGGGAAACTAATTTTGAAGTTTCGAAGAAACAGAAAGATGTATGAGATGTTTTTTTTTTTCAAAATTAAAAAGAAGGATGATGGTGATTGAAATTAGCATAATTTCACCTTGCACGAGCTGCACGCATTTATAAAATACACGTCATCTAGATATGAAACACGGTCTGCTGTCTTTTAGTTTTGCCATGGATGAGATTTCCTTCGTGTTTTAGACAGTACTTAGTTGTTTTTGATTTGGAATAACATCGACATTGGCGAGTAGTAGAACGACAATATAATTCAGTACAAATGTAGTAGAGTCATGGAAGTAATAAGAGAAACCCTTTGAAAGAGATGTTCTTCTACTCCAACTAAACCTCCCGCAAAAAATTGCAACATTTGTCTCTCGGAGACACCGTACCAGCACAAAGGAAGGAGGAAGAAGTGCAAGAAAACAAATCACGCCGCCATAATTCAGTGACAGCGGCAGTGTCTAATGGACAAACCACATCGCAAGCCCTGACCAAAGTCGAAAATGAGCGACATCTCTAAGCAAAGTCCCAGTCCACTGCATCACACCTTTTTGCTCGGATACGCGCGTTTCACCGCCCAACCTTTATCCGCCCTGCTTATAACTGACACCTGTCATTCACTGATAACCACTTAACCAGTGACAATGCTTCCAGCTTCACTCCGACACTGATCAAGATGGCTTACACCCGTGCCAAAATTAAGCACGGGGAATAGATTTTAAAACTGCGACCTGACACTGTCACAGTGTCAAGCTCAGCAATTGTTTTCAAACTTGGTCATCAAACTGGGAATATTTATCTGGATTAGTAAATTCAGACAAAAAAAATTCATAAAATGGCACCAAACGGTTGACATCTGTCAATCAGTAGGATTCTAAATGGCTGCTTCCCATGGCTTGAAAACACTATTTTACATTTTTTAAGACTTTTAATAAAGGTACCTTTTTCCCGCTTTTGAGAACATCACTTCCAACTGCAAAAAAGGTACCTTTTTGTGCCTTTCATGACATCGCTTGAAACCGAAAAAAAAGAAAACCGAAAAAACCCATGCGTTAAAAAAATTTCCAAAATCACATATACGGCCAGCCGGTTCTCACTTTTGCAGTGCGAGCTGTAGCTGTCAGCAAGAAGTTTTTGAATAATATAACTTTAACTTTGTTTGAGGGAAATCCTACTTACGCGTAGGTTTTTGACAGATGTTATGCTTGTTCAACTTGACAACACAAAGCAAAATTTATATATCTGCGCGAAACGAGCAAGTTAAACTATAGTTGCTTCGAAATCGATTTTTGGGAAGATTTTACCAGATAAAGATTGACCTTTTTTCTGCCCACATATCAACGCAATAACTTCTACATTGAGGATTTTGTTTATATTTTAGTGATCTGCGAAACTACGAGTGTCCGATCGAGCGAGGGTTTTAAAATATGAGCTCGAGTGCGACGTTCAGTGACCTCAAACACATTGTGCGCAAGCGTTAATTTTTGGGGGCAAATCACTGTCCAAAGATATGTTGTTTTTGTGTCCACAGTGGAGTTCGGGACCTTATATATCCAGGAACTTCGAATTCCTTATATGAACACATTTTGTGAATGCATCTTGAAAAAATCGGAACTACGCATGCACATTTCCAGTACAACGCAAGGAAATTAGTGTCGTTAAAGTCCGTTTTACTATGAGGTATTCTTCGAGACAAGGTTATAACCACAGCTTGCAACTTTTGAAGGCAAATTGCCTGTTCTTTCCAGGTTATGAGTGGAAACATTTTATTTTTGGGCAATAAAATATTTGAAATCCCGCCATTTTTTCAAACCCGGCCAGGGGATCCAGGCAAAAAAAGTTCACGCATGCTCATTACGTTTTTCCGCCCTGAAACCATATTCTATGAGTATTGGGGCTCTGTCCCAAGCGCGCTTATAAATGCTGGGTAGCCTGTGCACGTGGTCAGTGAACACAGTTAATTTGTGCATGCGCGATAATTGCACCACAACCAGAAATTTACTATTTTCAGAATTTATAAGGCGATTATTTTCATCATCTGAAACTGTCTTTCCACGGAACGAAACACGTTCTTACAGGTCTGATTTCTTACATAGGCACGTGAAGAATTCTAATTTTTATTGTCGAAAGAAGAACGAAAATCTCGCCATATTTCCTCGCTCGTTTCAGCGGAACAGAACATTCCTTCGTACGCATCGAATCGAAAGTTTTAATTTCCTATTTAGAATCTTGAAAATAAGTTTATATTTGTACAGAATTGTAAAAAAAAGAAATTATTTTAAATTATGGAAGTTTCGGAAAGTATCGTTGTAAATAGTTCTGTTGGTAACACACCAACTAAAAGTCCGTGGGGGAAGACTCCAAATGTTGTACCTTGCTCGTTTTCTGCTGTTATGGATGAAGAAGTGGCTAAAGAATTGCAAGCTAAAGAAGATTATCTCGCGGGTTATCACTTGCAAGGAAGCACGATTGATTCTCCTGAGTCAATATTTAAAGGTACTATACATGTAATAATATTGATTGTTTAAGTAACAGTCTAGTGTGACTTTTTTGGGACGATCCGTTTCCTTGGCTTTTTGCTTCAGTCATTGCTCCTTAGTATCTTTATATCTGGAAAAAATGTGACTGTGAGGTTTTTTTCTTGAGAGCCTGCTTAAATCATGGTCACCAGGGTAAGACGGACACCATGGTGTGTACCGTTAGTGTCTGTATTAAAGAGGCTGGTCATTTTATTGCCTGTGAGGAGAAGAGAAACAATGTTGCTGGGGGATGATTTTCAAAATCTTGATAGACATTAATCTTGATATTTGATGTGGGGATCATTTTAATAAATTTCATGAAAGTAGTACAAAGCAGTAGCAATTGTGAATTGAAATTGAATGTACAGTAGAACCCCGGAAACTCGAACTCTGAAGGGAAACGGAAAACAGTTTGAGTTAGCAAGGAATTCAAGTTATCAGGGTAAATCTCAGTTCAAGGGAAAGGAAATTCAGTGCGAGTTAGCCGGGAATTAGAGTTATCGGAGTTTCAAGGTTCTACTGTAGTTCAGTGGTAAATAATAAACCAAAATTTGACATGATTTGTAGCTGGAATATTCCCAGTTTCCACTGCAATCAGGTAGAGGTGGTGACTTTCACAGTACATGTATAAATTATAAAGTTTATGTGGGTCATTTCAAAAAAAAGCTAGGATGAATAAATATTTATTGAGGGGTCAGTTTAAATTTTTTTAAAAAATAACTAGGTTTACTTGCATGGTTTTGTTTTCCAGGAAGCTCTAGTCCAGACACTGAAAATGATTTTCTCTTGGCCCAAATGCTTCAGCTTGAATATGATAAAGAGAATGATCGTTCAATTGACTCGATGGAAAAGAGATACAATGGGGAAAGCAAAGGTATGTACATGTTAGAATGGTTTCCTGCAGGTTGTTGCCACTTGATATCACATTTCTGTATTATTTTTGTGACAGCAAAAAGAAAAAATAATATAGTTAGAGTACCTTATTCTTACTAATTTTCGCAAGTATTAAATTTCGCAATTATTTAGCGATTTGAAAACATTTTCACTGTAAACTAGACAGGGCTTCTGATAGGTTGTGGGAGAAAAAGTCAAATTTCGCGGGATTTTTAGGGACAAATTCGCGAAAAAATCGGCCGACTTTGTGGGAATTTCGTGGGAGTTTTTGGGGCAAACTTCACCAAAAAGCAATTGGTAGAAAACGGCAGATTTTGTGGTTGTTTTCAAGGCAAATTTCACTAGAAATCGATCGGTTTTGCGCTGATCAGACCAGCATTTTTAACGTTTTTCTAACAGAGGTCATCATTTGCTGTTTCAACAACAATACGTTCCAGAAATGAACCAATGGCAAAGCCTTTAACATCATAGCTAGTGCCCAGTTTTTCACAACATAAGCTATGCCTGGTAGTTTCAGAACGTTGTTAGCACGTTTCAGTGGCAAAGTTCCAAGATAAATTTGCAAGGTTACGGCCAGTAAACAGCTCCTATAGCTGTATTAAATTTCAAATAATGTTGTACAGACATGTATTTGATAAGATTTCTACCGAATTTCGTCGTATTTTTCGTGTTTTTGTGAATGTGGGGGATTTCATGGATTTACCTGAATTTCGCAGCTCAGCAACTGTGCAAAATATCAAAAGCCTTAATAGAGCCCTGCAAATACCCAAGACTTCTCCATAACAATTATTTATGGAGACCGCATGCTAGCATTGTCTTGTGTTTAACCTAGCCTAAATTGAATTTACATTTAGCCACGTTTAAGGAAACAACAGTTGAATGGCCAAAACAATGTTCCTAACCGTAAATATTGTAGCTAGCCATTTATTCTTTGTATTTTTGCTCCTTTCAGTGTCGGTGTCATTTGATCATTTTCGTAATGTCCATCCAATGCTAAAAGAAGATTCATCAAGTTCCTCAGATTCAGATGAGTGGGATGAGGATGATCTGGGTAAAGTAACTTATTATTGTTGTATGATGTTATTGTTAGCTCACTACTGATACTCAGAAAAAGTGTCTGTTCATCTCGGACTGGTAGTTTGTGTCATTCTTATAGAGAGCTCAACTTCCAAAGCCTATTTTGCCGCTCTGATCTGTCAACAATAATATGGTAGTTGTTAGATCTGTGCCCAGGTGCAGATCTAGGATAGATACTTACTGATTTCCTAAATGAGCGCCTTCTAGTGGGGTCCAGGGGCGGGCTCCCCCAGGACATTTTTTAGATTTTTACTCCTTAAAGTTCCTTTTCCTGGGTTTCTAAGTCATTCAAACAGGAATGTATTGGCCAGATTTAAACTTGAAAAGTGTGTTTGATTGTTAAATATATATTTATTATTAAAAATGTGACCGATTTCAGTAAAACAGTGGAAACCGTGTGGATCCCAGCCTGTGTGCTCGCTGTTGTCTGTTTTCGTTATTAAATCTTCCTAATTTTTCCAATCAAACCCTTTACTCATTAATCTCTAAGGTTACTTAGACTCTACTAGTCTTGTATTTTGACTCTTCAACCCCTTGCCATTAGTGTTGCTCATGTAACCACCATGCTGAACTCCCAGTATTTTTTAAAGAAATATATGTTATAGGTTGAACTTTTTTGCTTACTCATCATCAAGTATGGTCATGTTGACCGACCAAACAAGTTTTAACTCTGTTGTGGTTCATGGCTTATAAAAACTATAGCTAGCAATGTATTACATGTACCACTAAGTAGCTTTCACAAAGCCACTGAACGAAAACGTCAGACAGCATCTCATCTGTATTCTCCACATTTTTAACTGAAAATGATTAAAATATTTTATGATTTGACTGTTCTATTGTAATTTACAGAATTAATGTGAATAAATTTATTTTTCCAGTTAGATACTTGAAAGCCACACATTTAACTGGTCAAAATGACCATGTGCGACTGTTATTAATCTTGAACCCAGTATACCTAAGATTCTGGCAATCTGCCCGCTCACCCGCCCTCTCCTCTCTTAGCATTTTCCCATAAGGAAAAAAGTTAGTGTTTATGTTTTTTGGGGGGAGGTGGGGATGGATACTTACAGACGTCAACAATTTTAACTGCATGGTCCTCTGTCTTTGATAACCCTGCAGACCACCCTACACCTCCTAAACCTCCACCTAATCAATCACCTGGCAAGAAAAAAGAGATTATCACCAAACATGACTCAACAGTGTGTGGACGTCGCAATGTTAAGATCATGGAAAAGGTATGTGTAGTGATAATTATTGCTGTTAATCTTTTAACTCTGCTTATACACTGTATTCTCCAGAATACCAAAATACTAAAAAAACACCAATATCGTCTTGTATCATGATGCCTTCTTTGAAGACGTTGGTTTTTATTGTATTATATATCTCCTGTTAAGCTCTCCTCTCTAGAAACCCCCCTCCCCCCCCCTCCACTTTATAGAGGTGGGAAAGAAAAGTTATTCACCTCACCATCCACATCCCCCTCATTAAGTTTTACACTCAAAATAATATTAACCAATTTACTCCTGAGAATTTGCCTTAAAATGCGTTTTGAAGCTACCAGAGCCGTTTTCTGGTGACTGTCTGGTTATTAAGAGCGAAAAATTACCACAAAGCCATTTACAGGTGGTACACTTCACAGCCTTCTGATCCAGATGCAAAATTTTTCCATACAATTATTTTGCTATTACCTTTTGACGAATTTCATTTGTTATGCCGAGGACTGTGTTATATATAGAGGTTCCTTAAAAGGACGTTCCACTGTACTTATATCACACCTAACCACCCTTAAAAGGTTAAGGATAAAGTATCCCCTGTACAAATCTTTGTTTTGTACCCCAGGGTTAGCCTCCCACTCCCGGCAGACGTTTGTAAGGCCCCATTTGTGGGGCAGGAATGCATGACGAAGCCATAAGAATATCAGCGTAGGGAGCTACATATACCCCAGGCTTTAAGCTTGCTTACAAACAAATGGTGTCAGAGAGTAAACATTTTCTTTATTAATCTTGCTATGGTCGTATTTAATTTCAGTTTCCACCAAGTTTTGCTGCAGGAAATGTGGGCAGTGAAGAGCTGGACCTCAAGCTTTCTAACAGTGTGTTCAATACGTTAAAACAGCACTCTTACCGCGAGGAAAGGCAAAGTGCTCGCCTTCACGAGAAGAAGGAACATGCAACACATGTAAGGAGATGGTTTTAACTGTAGGAAGGAGTCTACCATGCAAACAGGCTTCCCTGGTGTAGCCTGCGAATGCAGACGTTATCTCGGTCAAGCGACAACCAGGAATGGGTCTGCATTCACAGGCTACCCTTGGTGATTTGTGGACTGGATTTGAGGAAATGGATAAACAACGTTAGATCCGACGTAGTCTTACACGCAGCCTTTTTGTCCTGTCATGCAATGCTTCTTGTCACGCAATGCTCTCCAACCCTGGAGTGTTGCGTGATAAGAATGCGCAGAAACGCTTGCTGCACAGGCTAATACTTGAATCTTTTAACCTTACAGTCTTTCACGCAGCCTTTTTTGTCCTGTCACGCAATGCTTCTTCTCTCCCCTCCAGGAGCATTGCATGATGAGAAGAAAACGGCTGCGTTCAAGACTAGTTGGATCTCTCCGTTCCAACTTTCGCAAACAACTTGCTCAGAATCGCTTGCTACACAGTCTAATACTTGAATCTTTTAAAGTTGGCTCGATAACATGGTCTAGAAAACAAAAACAAAAGTGAAAGCCTCTTTAACAGGAGTTTTGTTTGGTCTGATTTGCGTTTGAACATTTTACAAGTTTTCTTCTGGTCTTGATTGTTTTTGCTGCAATGTTGTTTTTTAGGAACAAGTGCTGGACCCGAAAACTAGGTTGATGTTGTACAAGCTGGTTAATGGCGAAGTTCTTGAAGCTGTAAATGGCTGCGTCAGTACTGGAAAGGAGGCCTGCGTGTTCCATGCGAATGGAGGAAGGTTGGTAAAATAGATCCATCACTAACGTGAGATAATTAACAATTATTCCACGAGTGGCGTTGGATATGAGATGGTAGATAGCCACAAAATATCGAGAATTCTTCCTGACTTTATTTGTAAAATTTGAGCAGACGCGTACAGTTTCCATATTTGGAGAGCTTGGTATAGTGGCTCACATACCTTGATGGCTAAGCCAATCAGAGCTCTATAATAACATTATCCAATGATTCAGTTTTTAATGATATAGTCTTTTTAACGAAATTTGGGGAATTTCTCATTTATTTTGTCCAATATTAATTGTAGCTCTACTTGGACACGTTTTCACTAATTGTCGCCTTCTCAGGAAAGCCGTAAGCGAAGCTTCAGAATTAGTTAGCCTTTTAAACCTTCTAACTGCTTTATGAAGTAGAAGTCAAATCTTCAATCTTGTGACGAGTGAGGTGGGGATGAACAATATGCACCCAGCCCCACCCCTCTCTAACCACCCGATTTGAAACTCCCGGTCAGTTTACTTATTCCAAGTAATTTGAGGTAATTTCGGTGAAATTGATGTTGTGGCTTGGTGTGAGACTCCAAACGTAATGGACATATCTTGTCTTAAGTATCGCTATTGAGAAACCCAAGGTACAGTTTTATAATCCCTTTGAAGTACTCCTGGTTGGAGGCAATTGAATTTAGTAGAGACACTTTTGTCATTCCTTTTTCTGTTCAACATCAAAAGGCGAGAAGAAGAACCAATGCCAGAAGAGTGTGCCGTAAAAGTGTTCAAGACAACGCTGAATGAATTCAAGACCAGGGATCGTTATATCAAAGACGACCATCGCTTTAGAGACCGCTTCAGCAAACAGAATCCAAGGAAGATAATCAAGCTGTGGGCAGAGAAGGAAATGTGTAACCTTAGCAGGTTTGTTGTTTCTTTCGTCACTCCGCCTTGTCTTGTGCAGATTTCTACTGACTAAGAACAGTTATCCAATATCAGCTATATGAAAGACAAATTCTTTTCGCAAAAATACTTTTAGAATCAGAAGAAACTTGTTTTCCTTCGAATTCTCGTTGATACCTGATATCTTTCGTTTCTTTGAATTACTCCTTGGCAGTTTCCCCACGGCTCCCATTAACAACCTGAAAGCATAAGAGTTTACTACGGATAGTATTTCGGCTATTTCACTTAGCCCGCAGAGACCATGTCACGTTGTTTTATCAATGTAACTTCGTCTCAACGAAAGTAAAAATCGAGTAATCGAATAACAACACGTAAGCGAAATGACCTGACACGTGAGCGAAACGACCTAACACGAAGCGAAACGACTCGTTGGCGAAATGACCGTAAACTACTCGTGGACTGAATTTTTCTTTTTTCTTTTATTTCGTGATTTAAAATTTAGCTCCGGCCCCAAAGGTTGTCGGGACTTTCGAGAAACGGGTCTCAGAGCCAAGTACGTAAAGAGAATAGAAAACTACACCGTTGTTTGTTCATGTTTTTTTAAATCATGAATAAATGAATGTACCAAAAGGTTGTTTAACGTCCAGAGTCGTAGTTTTGCTTGATAACCTGACGTTCTCGTTCCTGTCACTGTCGTTGTTGGGTAAACCTCCTGTTAACTTTTATTTCTAAACTTTGTTGCAGGATGCGTAAAGCTGGTATCCCTTGCCCTACTGTGGCACTGTTAAAGAAACATATCCTGGTCATGAGCTTTATTGGCAAGGATCAAAAACCCGCTCCTAAGCTGAAAGACGCTGTTCTTTCCTCGCGACAGTTGCAAAAGGCTTATGAGCAATGTGTCGAGGTAAGATGTATTGTAGGCTAGGATAGATGTACTTGTAGAACGTCAGTGGTCTCCTCGGCTGTTTCTAGACAAAGATTTCCAAGAGGGTGTTTTTTCTGAAAATTTGCAAGACCACAAACAAAGAGTTCAGAACATTATTAATAATAACGTTGAAAAACGCTTTTATGGTGAACGGCGAACGTAAGTGCCCCATTTACTGTTGGCCGTGAACTGCACTAGTCTGTTAAAGGCAAGATTTACCGTTACTGAAACTTTCACATGTATCGGCCTCCACTCGGTCAGGTTACGGCCTCAAATGGTAGAATATACAGTTATCATAATAATCTCTATATCATGGCCACGGTCTCTATGCCCCAATACGACAGGTTCCGAGGCAGTCAATCTGAAATGTCATCCGGCTCCTCGCCCCACCCCTAACGGGCGGCAAGTCTCTCTCGCTTTGCAGCCCGTTGGCGGGTGGGGTCAGGAGACGGATGATGTTTCAGACTAGCATCGAGTGACATCTGGAATATCAACTTTTCGAGCGGTGTTGCGTGCATTTCTGTCTCGTATCAGATTCGCTCTGACCACGGGCGCTTACCGTAAGTCAGAACCGGCCGGCGGGACTGATCATTAGGGAGTTAAGCAACGAGAACGGCAAAAAAGCAATAGGTTTAGGGCCTGTTTACATGGAGGTGGGGACCGCGGATACGTGAGGTAACATGCGGAGGGTCACCCCACCTATCATGTAAACGTGATCAAATTAAAATGAGAGATTATTTGGGCGGCGGGTTACCCCACCTAAGCGGGTTACCTCGCCCACCTGGGCTCCCCCCACCTCCATGTTAACAGGCCCTTAGGCTGGCAAAACTGCAACTTTGCGCGCGCGTCACGCTTTTTTGTACATTTCTTTACCGCCACTGCACGACTACGACGTGAAACTGCCTAATTTCACGTTTGTGGAGGATGTGAACTTACGACAACGATGTTCGTTTTCTTTTTGTGAACTTAGATACAGTCCTTTAGAATTCATCTCCCGAAAAAGTCGCCAACATGTGGCAATTTAAAAGAGTTCTAATAAGAGCCATGAAGTTTGATTCAGCGCGAATTCACTTTTTGGGTGACGTTTTCGATGTCGTTGCCGTCGTCGTGGCTTAAGCTCACTATTTGAAACAAAATTTGGTCGTTTCTCAAAATTTCCCCAATATACAGACTGATCTGGTTTGATAGTCCTCTTTAATTGTGGAATTCTCTATACAACTGGACTGGTCTGGCCAGCCCGGCAGTTCCGACAAATGGAAACCATACAGGGCTGTGCTCTAGCAGAGCCCGGTGGCCCCTGGCGCCTAACTTTTGCCCTCGGGCGACTAGAAAATCACAGATTTTTCATACAAGTCATATGCTGGGCACCCTAGATTTTACAGATTCAGAGGACTGGGCTCCCTTCAATTTTCCTTAGAGCACAGCCTTGCCATACTAAGGGTTAGTACTCGAAACGTCGGCTTCTCAACCTGCACATGGTGGCCGACTTACTCTATCCCCTCAGTTGTCAAAACCAAATTTTTCTATTTCACCCCCCCCCCCCAGGCCCCCCACCGACAGGCGACCACGATTTCTTTAGAAACTAACCTTGAATTTCTTTAGATGTGTGATACATGTAGTACACAGAGTTATGAGAATTGCCGACAGAAGCACTCTAATGGCACGAGTCTTCTATTTTTAGATAATGTGCACAATGTACCAAAAATGCAAACTAATCCACGCGGATCTGAGCGAGTACAACATGCTCTGGCATGAAAACAAGGTGTGGTTTATAGACGTGAGTCAGTCCGTGGAACCATTCCATCCGCATGCCTTGGAGTTCCTGTACAGGGATTGTACAAACGTAGTGGAGTTCTTCACCAAATGTGGGGTCCCTGATGTACTGCAGGCTTATGAGCTTTTTAACAAGGTCACGCGACTGGAAATCACTCCTGATCCTGAGCAAAGCTTCCTATCACAGGTATTGTTATCAAGGTAGATTGTAGGGAGGGGAGGGTGGAGTGAAGGCATGAAGGAGCACTAACAGATAAAGAGGGCCGGTTTCATTTAGCACAAAGTACCTACAGCTGTATAAGTGATATCCCCTGCCCCCTCCTCCACCCCTTTAGCATAGACCCGCTAGAAGTACTATTCCCTCCACCCCTCCCCTATAAAAGATGCTTTCTGTCACAGGATCACAGGCGTTATACTTACAAAGTAGAGAGGTTAGGCAACAATAATGGCGACGGCAGCAAAAGAAGTGAAGTCGCGGGTTTTTTTGTGTCTTTGTTTGTCTGTTTCTTCTCAAACTATCGCGATTTTTCAAGCTCACTCGAACGGAATTGAAATGAATTGAATTCTTATGAGGATCATATTCAATTTCAGAAAGAATGTGGTGTAGATTAAAGCGCCTCTAGTTTATATCAATTGCTTATTGGTAACTTATTGTAGAACACACGCTATTACATTAAGACGACTCTTGCAAGGTTAGGTGAGTGCTTTTTACCAATCATAAAACCAAGTTAGAAAACTTGCATCAATTTAGATTTCTTGGAAACTGCCTACCTGCCCCTCCCTTAAGTTAAATATAACACTTACTTCTCACTTAGGGCAAAATGTTGGGTCAGGGGAGGGGTAGGTGGGCAGTTGCCCTGGAAACCTACAACGATGTCCCCACTGTCTTCCCTGTTAAGGACGCTTTCTCTTGTTGTATTGCACACAACGCAGAGAACTGTGAAGGCCCCTAATTTTTTTAAATTGCTTTTCAGATTCAGTCATATGAGGTTCATGAAATGTCCGTTGGAGGAAGGAAGAACGAGGCACCTTATGACTTTGATTACTTCTTTAACAAGACGCAGTCGTAGAATCAATAAAGAGCCATGCAATTATCACCAAACTGACCGTAACTGTTGTTTACCAGAATCAAAGTGCTGATTTCAAAAGGGCAACTTCTCTGCCTTTTGTAAGTTGCTTTTAAAACGTGAGAATGTTCTCCAAGGATCATAAAACCAAGTCACTGGTCAGTCATAATGCGAGAACCAATCAGATCACGAAGCGAGTGTACCGTTTTCCTCGAATAATAGCCGTCCGTCGATTAATCACCTCCCTCGAATAATCGCCCTCCTCTGATGGAAATATTTAAGATAATCGCCTCCTTCGAAAAATCGCCCATCCGCGCTCCTCTCGCCATCTTCTCTTCCTGTTATCCCCTCCCTGTCAAGTTGAAGTGCAATGTGATCCAGCAAAACTGATCAATGACGATTCAAGCTATGAAAATTGATCAAGGAACTAAATTTGGAACACTTAAAGTTTATTTGATGTGACTATTCTTTGATTTAATGGGAAAATAAGACAAAATATTTAGGGCACGACTTCCAGTGAGCAATATTTGAAATAATCGCCTCCCTCGAATAATCGCCCGCTTTTTGTGCTAAGAAAAAAAATTCGCCCCGGCTATTCTCGGTTTTCACTAGCACCCAATCAAAAATAAAATTGCAAACCATTCAATACAGAAAGTCCCGAATCTAGGAAATAAAAGAAGATAAATAAGCAAAAGGCCTCGCCAAGAATCAGGTCTGTGCGATATTTCATATGCGAGATATTAGGAAAAACGTTTTACCCAAATTTACAAAGCTTTGTATGGCGACGCCATGTTTGTGTCCCTTTGCGGGGCACAAATATGGCCGCCGGAAACCAACAGAAACATCTGTTTTTGAGTTATCCTACTAATGTGTTAATTCATCCCTTGAAAAACTCATAAACTATTAAAGTGATATATATTCTGAGACAAGGAATGTTTAGACAGCAAAATCTCCCAAAATTGGTAATGTTTTTAACCCACATAAGAGCCGTTGCGGCCGCCAGCTAAATGCCGCGTCACGCAAAAGCCTAGAAATTCAAACGTCCTCTATCGAAAAACGAAGAACCCTTTCGAACCAAACCTCTGTTTAAATAAAGGTGTTTAGGTGCTGTAATACCTCATGAAACTCAGAAGAATCGATAGTTTCTTAGTTTGAATTTTGGTGACGTCATGTGAAAACCGAGAATTGTTCGAGGAAATACGGTATTCAGGCGGTGCAAACAAGCGCGGGAAGCCAGGCGCAGGAAAACGGGTGAAGCAGGCTTTTTTTTCTATTTGTGGCGGGAGATCTTTTAGCCAATCAAAGATCACAGTGAAAGCAAAGCTAAAATATCCCCCAAAAAAAAAAAAAAAAAAAAAAAAAGGAGTTACTCCCTTATACATTAAAAATTAAAGGGCGTGGATTTTTTGCTCCTTTAAATTTTGATCAAAAACTGGGTATAGAATTTTACCAGGTTCTGGTATTGGTTAATTTGTTATCATTAGACTTTTGAAAAGAAAAGTTCAGGTCTGAAATAGAGTAGCGAAGTTTACAATATATTGATTTAGCCAGGGCAAAAAGCGAAGCTCTCGATAATATTTATTTTTTGTGCAAACAAAATATAAAATCGTATAATGCTATGCGGCGAAGGCAACGCCGGTGAACGGTGAAAAACAACAGGTCTAATTAGCAAAAAAGCAACTTTGCACGTGCAGCACACTATTTTTGTACATTTCTTTGCCGTTGTTTTGCCCGACTACAACGTGAAACTTCCAGAAACTTCTTAGTTACACGTTTTATGGAGGAAATGTCGTACTTGTTCTAGTTCACCTTTTTTTCACTGCCGCTCATTTTCACCTTGCATTGGTGGCCGCTAGCATCTCTCGGTTTGTCATCGCCGCTACAAAATTTCATGTTGTTCTTCTAGTAAAAAAAATGTCTCCTTTGTTTTTCATCTCTCGCTCTAGATCTCTGTCGCCCTTTTTCTCGATGAGCTTCGCTGGCCTGCCACCTACTTTCTCTTTTTCTCTGTCTTTCTCCTGCTCTATATTCCAAATTTGTGGACATGACAATTAGTGTAAACTAATACTTTAGACAACACGGTAGCCTGCGTGCAGACGATAACTAAACTCTGATTAGTACCGTCTGCGAAGCAGCGCAGAGATCCTTGTTCTGGACCCCCAACGGACTCAACGAATTACCGGAAGTGCGTTTCGAATTCCCCTTCAACCTGATTGGCGATCACGACAAACAAAACAAAGGCCTTTTTTAACTGGCCAATCGTGGCGCGTACTCAAATCTGGGTACACAGCTGGAAGTCCAGAGCAAGGATTTCGGCACTGTTTCGTAGACGGAGTTAACCAGAGTTTAATTTCGTCTGCGCGCAGGCTAACAACACGGATACAGAAACAATTTCCCCTTTCCGTTTTCGTTTTCATTGACTCTTTAGTTGTCTCTGCTTTACAAGACGCCGGTGGCCATGCGATTTCCCGCCAAAATAACCTCGAGTTGCGTTTGGGTTGCCATACCTGTTGATTGAGTTATTTTCATTGGTTTGCCTGTGGTGTGGACGGACGGTCTCTCGGTCGGTGTACGGTCACGTGATTCTCGGATGGGTAGATTACTTCATTTTCTTACCCACGAAGCGCGCCAGAGCACCGCTTTTATTTGGTCTGAAATCGTGAAGAAAATCTGAAAGCATTCCGCCCGTCCCCACCCGTATTTATCAGGAGTACCCCGCAATATATCAGGTCATGACGCACTGTTTTCATCGGATGTCCAAAAGTGAGCAGTAATTCTTGAAGAAATGGCAAGTTAAAGGGTGGTTTTCACTAGCGACGGAGTCGGAGTCGGCATCGGAATCGTAAGCGGAGTCGTAAGAGCGTTTATGACCTTGTGAAAATCAAAAATCGGAGTCGTAAGGGGAGTCATAAGTTCTACGGAATCGGAAGAATCAGAACGTTTCCATTTTCTTCTGACTCTGCTTATTATGATCTAGTGAAAATCAAATTGTCGAAGTCAGAAGCAGAAGCGGGAAGATAGACCAATTACAATCACCGCGTTTCTCCGGCCCGCTGTCTACGCGCCTTTTCCTGGCCTTTTCTCTAAGTATATAATTTATTGCATTTTTTAAACGCGTTGCGTTGCTAGAAACCAACCAACATTCGGCCGCTGAAAAAAATGTTTTTTTTTTATAAGCAAGCACAGTTAAGGTTCGTTTAAAGGGGCAACGAAAAACATACAACTTGTCTTGCATCATTGCTGCAAAACGAGCTGAATAGCGATGTTGCGCGTTTTAACACCCACACGGTTTAAACGAGGGTGGTAAAACCCGAAACATCGCTCTTCAACTCGTTTTGAAGAAGAAGAAGATGATGAGAACTGAGGAATTACAGTTTTAAATGAAGACATGATCATCGCAGTTGCAGTAGTAGTTTAAGTTGTTGCAAATTAACCCGAAAAATGTTCGGGGCATCAGCGGGATTCGAACCCATGGTCTCTGCGTTAGCTTGCGTTAGCGCTGCAGTGCTCTACCAACTGAGCTATGAAGGCCTTTACTGGCATAGGGAGCAGGCCAATTTGTTGAGTTCTAACATCATAATTGTCGGTTACTGACGATATCTGTGAGGAAGCCTTAGAGACCTCCCTCTGAAGGTCCTTGCAACGATTTCTTTTCTTGAAATTTCTAGACGGGACTCTTTTCTTTGAGTTTGGTTCAGTTGAACTACACACTGATAATAAATGTCTTCATCGATCTCTAGATGAAAGTCATCCTCAACATAGCTGATAGCGCCTCCCTCAGCTGTTAGCTGACAAAAAACTTGATTCAGTTTGATCCTGCCAGAGAACTCGTATCGAAATAGCAAGCAGCCCTTTTGATCTGGAGAGCATAATTATTCACTTTTGCTGTATCACTAGGAGTACTGTGTTGTTTTGGTCTTCAATCCTGTACCAACACTCCAAGTAAAAACATTCCTGAAGTTCGTTGATCGTGTGACATAAGTAGGGTGAATCCTTTGCCAAGAAATTCAGGGAAGATGGTGCCACAATCTCCTACGATAGCTTCATTGTCGCTTTCGCTGCTGCTCGAATCCTGTGACGCAAGGCTGCTTCTTATTTCCACAAGGCAAGAACAAGGCAAGAGGAGGGATTCGCGGTCAATACGCAACGGCGATAAGCAGAAATGGAAAGGATTCCGGGGTTATCCTTTGTGGATTTCGCTCTGACTGAGAGCTGTCGCGTCGGTTTACCATACTCTCGGGCCCACTTTCTCAACTCAGTCACCTCTTGGCTAGTGCTCGTTCTCACATTAAAATTAAAAAGGAACTTTTTGTGAATAAAAAACATCACTTATGGTTGAGTTTGTTTACGTATCAATGGACAGTGTTTCGGGGATCATTTTTTATGATTTTGTTGCAAATTCAGTAAGAAAGTTTTTCCAAATTTCGTCTCTTTCTTGGTATTTGTTGGTGCAGCTGCTTCATTTACCGCTAAAATTTCATCTTTCGAAACTGTCGTAAAACGAGAAGCCATTTTGAATTCCTTCCCAAAACAGTGAATATCCAAGGATATTCCGAGTTACCGGAGCCAATCAGAACGCGCGAAAATTGCTATCCACTGATATGGTGAATAATAAATACAATTATTAAAAACTGAATCATTGGATAATGCAATTCTAGCATTTTGATTGGCTTAGCCGTTATGGTATATGAGCTAATATACCATGTTCTCCATATATGGTCGGTGTACGCGTCAGTTTAAAATTGGAAGCTAGCTGAGATTTTTTTTCGCGAAGGATAGAACGGCGCCCGAAGCAAATCGTTTTAATTCATTTCTTAGAATACTAGAAATGCAATTTCAACGAAAGAAAAAAGACAAAAACAAACAAAAAAGCCACAAGAGCTTGTTTGAAAGTTTGTCGAAAAACACATGGAACTAAAGTACCTTGACCAGCTACGAAAGAAGACAAGTGTTGTTTCTTCATGATCGCGAAGCCATTCGCCGATCGAGTCACTCGCCGATAGATAACTGCAGCTTGTTTATCCAACATCAAGAATATAAATCACAAGTAACCAGCTACAAATACAGGCTATGCAGCCATTCACTAGAGCAATCGAGGCGGCAGTATAGCTTCTTTTCTCGTTCAGCAAAACCAGCTTGTGGCTTCAAACAACTTCATAACAAGCGACGAGGTAATACCAGTAGTTTTTCTCCGTTGTTCTTACTTTTGTAACTGCACCGAAAATCCAAATTCATAGTAATTTCGACGGTTGTCACTTAAAAATTCCTTTCCTTCACATTATCTGCCAGGTTTTTTAAGCTGTTCTGCTGTGTAAAATCCTAGAATCACGATGAGTTTTTAAAAAACTAATGTGCACCGCACAATGTTTTGATTTTTCATTCATGCAGTCTAGGCGAGCCCGTTCGCGCGTTGACAGTTTTGATAGACGTGTGACATGTCAATAGCGGAAGTCCCTTGTCTTTTCCGGTTTGTTCTAGTCGGGGCGATTCAACGAGATTTTGTGGGCGTTTTTAATAAAACAATTATTCCACTCGGGCTTGTTGGATATGAAATGATTATAGCCAACTCGGCGCTATGCGCCTCGTTGGCTATCTATCATCTCATATCCAACGCGCCCTCGTGGAATAATTGTTAAGTATAGGTGCTGCGAGTGTGCAGCTCGCTATGATCCACACGCGGTCCACGCACTGCGCGCTCGCTTCGCGCGACGAGATCATAAACTCACTTCGCTCGGAATAAATTGAGACAAACTTTGCTTTCAAAATAATGACATTTTATTTTAATGCTTTATTATTGTGTTTTTTTTTATTTTTTTTTTACCTTCGACTTTTTTCGGGTACGCACCTGCGTACCGTACGTACAGGTAGCTACGCCCATCACTTTTAAACAATACAATATTGTGTTAGCAAAACTAAGTTTTGATATGCCGCAAAATTTTACTTGATTAACGCAAAATGTAAGACATTTTGACAAAAAATGAAACAATAGTTTTAATGCAAAATGTAACAACTTTAGAAACGCGCTGAAAAGAGTAGCCTATAAGAGTGTTTCAGTACTGACTAGCTTGACATTGTCTTACTGCTAAAATAGTATGATTTTCTAGCCCAGTGTTATCAAAATGCAAGAAAATTAAATAAATTTAGCATCGACTAAAGTCATAATCACGGTCAGAGGTGAGATCACGTCCTTGGCAGTTGTCTCGCCATGCATACCTGTGTGAAAAGGACAAAGAAAACATATTTTAAAGATGTAAAATTAATACTCTTGGTGGTTTTGAAGACTAAAAGAACACTTCTTGTATTAGGAAAAATTGTTTTCGTTGCATAGGGCCTAAAAACGGGCGGGTCATGCTTTAACATACATCTGAGAATCTGTTTAAGTTGAAGACAGCTTTTAACCGACGACGTTTATTCCGTATGCCAGTCTCGTGGAAATTTAATTTAACTGGTAGCCAATCTCACTGTTTTTGATTCATTCAGGTTTTAAGGCAATATAGAACTGAGGGTTTTTTTGTACGGAGAATCCATGTTGTTTGATTTTTTCAGTGTCACAACAAGCCAGAATAGAGGTACTGAAAAAACACTCGCCACTCTTAAGCACTCGAGATTATGAGTCGTAGCACTTTGTTAAAATGATTTCTAAAAGTTCTTATATGACTGAACATTTTTTTATGCACAACAACAATCATCCACAAAAAAAAACACCTAAGATAGAAGCCGCTGCAGTCTTATAGTACATGAGCAACTTTTCCTTGACAAAGGAAAACGTGTTGCGTGCCAATGGGTCTCATTTGGGGATTTTCAATAAAGTTTGAACCTTTCAAGTACAATAATTACTCTGGCTCTATTCTCCCCTGTCGTAGACGGGAGTGAAAACTAGATCCTTAGTCTTGTATCAAAAAAGCTTATTTAGTGAAAACTTAAGAAATCATTTTCTTTTATTTTGCAAATAAGTGAAGGGGCCAGGGGGCCCCCCTCCCCCTCCCCCTCCCCCTTCCCTCCGCGGGCTCTGTTATTGTCCACTATTTAACCCACCAAGCGCTGAAGCCTTGGCATCTCCTGATTTTGACAGCACAGTCTGTGTCCTCACCGATATCTGAGTCGAGGAACGCTGCAGAAACACAAAATAATAAATAAATAAATAAATAAATAAACAAATAAATAAATAAATAAAAGAGAGAAAACAGCTAACAAACAAACTTTTCTTTACATCACGACTGAAATAAGGAAACTTGATGTTCATAAACGAAACGCACTAACTCACAACTCAATAAAAGAAAAATCGACGCATAAATAAAGTGCGTGTTTTATCTGAATGGCATTTATCAATTACAATATAACTAGAGGTAATCATTGATTACAGATCCGCGTTCGTCACTTAAAGTTAATTGATTTCCGGTGTCGTGTAATTTTCACGTGCGTACGTGCGTAAAATTTACGTTCGCAAATAAAATAGAAGCAATGCATGAAAGGTCGCTCGTAAGCGTAAAAGTTGAACCTCGCTCAACTTCCCGTTTAAGCTCAGCACTTTTTATCTTGCCTCTATTTTATTGCGTGATTAAAATTTACGTGCGTTAACGTGCGTAGCTAAAAACGCGTCAGTGGAAATCAACCCTTACGGAAAAATTAAGGAAACGAAATCGTGTCGAAAGAAGTCCAGTTTCCCGGCCAAGGAGCCCCTGATAAAATTAATAGGGGCGGCAAATTTGCAGTCGTCCGCAATAGCTCGAAAATTTCTGCCTTAGTGCCACAGGAACACCAGATTATTATGCGATAAAGCTATGTTCATACTATACCAGATAGCTTTTCGTGTCAGCACGAAAGGGCGCCATCGCGGTATAGTATATAGAAGATATTACACGGTGGCGCGAAGATATGAATTTTATTTTCGAGTGGCAAAACAATATTTCACGAACGAACGCAGCGAGTGAGTAAAATATTGTTTTTGCCACGAGAAATAAAATTTATATCTTCAAGCCGCCGTGTAATGTTCTTTTTATTATATAGGCAAAAAGACATCGATAAAATAATAGATTTTTATTCGCCAAAAAGTAATTGTGACGGCTCAAATTTACAGTACAGTAATATAAGACATTGTTTACAATGATCTTGAGAAATAACACTGAGCTGAATAGGGCTCTACAATGACAAAATATAAGTAAAGCTTTGAAAAATGTGTAATTAAAATTCAAAGGACGCAAGACGCCTACAAATTTTGGAGGGAAATTACCGAAATTACGTCATCGATAAACTCACGTGTGAGATTATGGAAAATAAACCACTCGGGTCCCGGATGTAGTTTTTATGAGTTTTACGAGTGGTATATTTTCCAGTAAAACACTCGTGTCTATATAATAAGAACACCTATCTGGTCTGTGACTCTCCCGCTCTAGAGATCGACCGGTAGGTCGCAGGTAGTCGCCCCATCACAGAAATTTCGTCGAAGTCACCGTTTTACGTGTGAACAGAGGCCCTATCCGCCATGGTTGTCGTGCCGGCGCAAAAGCTATCCGACTAAATGATCCGACTAAAGCTAAATGACGATGTCTTAACAGTCCCAATATATTTGGCACAAGGCTATAAATTAATCTGAAGATACCCTCCTAGTCTCAAAATTAAGGACATGGTAATCTTTTGTTTTATTTTATTATTTTTTTAGACAGAATGCAGCGCGAGCTGAAACTTAAATATATAAATTAAAGGGAAAAAAATTTCATTTGGATTTTGAAAAATACTGCCTGAAAAGCAAATAGTTTCTTGTGAAAGTACAGCTGAAGAGGTTTCCTATAAATCGTCACATTACAGAATTTCACCCATTGGACTTAAAAGTTAGAGGGAATCACCTTTGTACTGCATAATAAACATGAAACAGCAGCTTTCATTGAATGGTTACACTCAAAGATCGATTTTAACCAGAGAGAACAAGGACGAAAGGACTGACTGCTCAGCAGCTTTCTTTTGAATGGACATCCCCCCCCCGCCCCCCCTCTCCCCACCCCGGCAAAAAAAGTAATAATGATGAAACACCACAAAAAATATTGTGCCGTAGTGAACGGTTACACTTCAGTCTTTTTCCATCCACAGTCTCCACAGTGGTTACTAAAGAAACCAATGTAAAAGGTGCTAGCCTCTAAAGCTAAAATCGTAGTAGTCACGTACATCACAAGCCAGAGTAAATGATCATAGGCTATGGTTATTTTAAGCGAACAAATTATTTAAGAACAATTTATAAATTAGAAAATGCTTGATTTAGCGTAGAGTAGAAAGGACCTGCTTACTTTAAAAGATTCACTACAGGTGTTTATTTTAGAAGCGCAAGATGAATTTGGCATTATTCAGCGTTGCCAGGGTCATCTACTGAGTTAACTCTTACCAGAACAAGGGTAACCACAGCCATGAGAACGTATCTGCCAACATCTACTGTATTTCGTATTATCTGGCTGGTCGCACCAGTAGTTGCTATTTATCTGATATATTCCATAATCCTTTGATCCGTCACGGTTCGCATCATTGACGGCATTATACTGGAAGTTACTCTCGTGTTTTACCAAACAAAGCCCTATGGACAACAATAGTACAATGCTATATAAACAGCCTTGTGGTTGTTCCGCTGTGAACACTGGACGAAAAAATGGATTTGCACAAATTTGTTCCTGGCAAATATGTGGCAAAAATTCAAAAACTGAGTTCAAAATTAATCTGAGGCAAACACCACGTTTTTTTTTTGGTATGCAAAAAATCTTTGTCCCAGATTTGCTCCTCAGTTTTGCATTTTGCGACATAGACACCATGAGCAATTTTGTGCAAATCCATTTTTTTGTCCAGTTGAACTGTTTGAGAAAGTGCCAGCACGGCTTCCAGTTACGAAAGGTTTTTTTCATGTTGCTGCAGGCAAGATAGTATCCCTGCTACCGTCGCCTCGTTAACTTTAAATTTGAGTTAATTATCTTGACTTAGTTTTAACTCTACTTTCAATCTCTCATCATTTTCAAAGCCAGAGCACTGCTGGATGCCAGTTTACTTCTGACCTCAAGGAGATTGAGTATATCTGAGCCCCGTAATTTGTAAGAGCCGGTGTTGAAACCCGCCCTCCCCAGCGTTACACATTAATACTATATTTCTCTCCCTCCCTCCCATTCATGGCATTTTACAGGCCTTCTTCCCCGAGCCTTCCGAGGTACTGCGATACTGCCGCATTTCTAGTTATAGACTTACAATCTCTCATTTCCGATTCCGGGACATTATAACTCCTCAGCGACCTGACCACAGCACATTTACTCAAATAGCCTGCATTTGCCATTCCTCCAAAAGCCAAAGTTCCCATCACAAAAATAAAAATCGTCAGCGTCTTCATCTTCTTGAATAGTTTGATATGGTGACAGAAATCTACTAAAAAAAGCAGCCAAGGAATGAACACAAATTGCTCCCTTAATTGCTTTAAAAACTATATTCTGGGAAAAGAGGCTCCTCTGATAACCGATTAGCAAAAAAAACAACGCTATTTTACTTTTCGGAATCATTTAATTAGTCTTCGATTGGTTGACTGATGGACTTAGTAGCTAGCTAACGAAGTTCCAACGACAGAAATTAATCCTTCATCGATGATTATTTTAAACGCCGATAAAAGTGCCACCAGTTAAATAATTATTAGAAACTGAAACAGTTTTACAAGGAAATGAAAGGATGTTTTTAAAAACCACCTTGATAAGCTTCTCTTAATTGACTGACTATAAATCAAATACTTGATAGCTCTTCAGTGCGGATGTCTTGACTTACTTTTTTACTGCTTTTTCGTCTCCGCCCAAATCTCAGAAGAAACTACAAAAGCTTGTAGCAAGCAGTCTCTTATTTTTATTTTGAGTCGCGGTAGCTCGTATAAGCAAGAGCAAAGAACGAGGGCGAGAGCAAACTCCTTTTTACCATCAATTTGCATATTTTTATGCCGCAGCGGAAAGAAGAACAATCGCTCGCGGTCTACATCACTCTTGAAAATAAAAGAGCCCAACAAACTGAAGCAACATACCTTTTCAAAACAACTTGACGGTGATCACCACGATGGAGGCACCAACTGAAAATAGGCACACATAATTAACTTTATTTATTCCCAACGCTGAAGATTCAACGGAAGAATATTCCTTTACAATTTTAGTTGACGTTAACGTTAAGGATTCCCTAGTGCTGAAAGGCTTCAGCTCACGGAGAACTCTTACTCCACATTCTCAAAGCAGGAACTGCTTAGAGCAACAAGGAAGTGAATATCCAATGGTGAAAATTGTCATGCGGTTCTTGTTATACGCCCGGGGGGGGGGGGGACGGTTCTCAAAAAAGTTTACGGGGGGGCCCCGCTCCAAGGTCCAACCCCTTATCCTTTTATATACCTATACCATTTTTGACAGAGAAAAGGTACCCCTTTTGTATACCTTATTTTGACAAATGGTATCCTTTTCACATACCTACTCTTATCCCTTTCAACTGCTATAAATGCACTGTTTTTACAATATGAATAAATCACAAAACCAGAACGCTTTCTTGACTTTTTCACAGCCATTAAACGCATTTGAGCCTTTTTACCGAGACCCAAATGAGAGATTTCCTGCCCTTTTATCTACTTCAACAAGTGAAATCCCTACCCTTTCATATACCTGAAGCTTGCCTGTTCCCCTTTCCGGCGGAGCCTCCCCTATAGGCCATTATAGAGATACCCCCTCCCCGGGGTTATACGTGACAAGAGAGGATGAGTTAGATGGGTGTTATACGTGATCTCTTGAGCTATCGGATGAAGGCTTGGAGATTCAACATTCTTAATGCTATACGGTCTTTAAAGCTGAGTTTAGTGTGGATTAGAGTGTAGCAGAAAGTCAGAGTATTTTGTTGTAGAATACGGTGTCATTGATGGGATATTAAGTGATATTAAGAATTACAGTTTTGAATTAAAGGGAATAACATTTGCGGTATAAAGTACATGTCAGACTTAGGGGTCGGGAAGGAATGTTGGGGGGGGGGGGTTAGGGGATGTAAAAGTTTCAGTAGAGCCGTAACTCAAGATTTTATGTCCTTTTGATAGTACGAAAACGATAATGAAATGGCAGTCTTGAGTTAAAGTTTGGAACTGCTACTAAATATAAACACTTGACATGTTATGCGCAGGTAGTTACGCGAGAACGTTTTTATAGTCGAGCTTGCTTTAGCAGAGCAGGACTCTCTTAGCGGAAACCGTGGAAACTGGGGATAAGAATCGGATGGAAACGAGTCTCGTGATGAGCATGCAGTTTATTTTCGGCGATGACTGGAATGACGCGAATTGTTTATCACGTTTTAGTGCTATGGCAAAAGTTTTTCTTCCATGCAAGAAATGACACTTTATCTTTTTCCACAAAACAGGTTTACGTTTCATGCTTATTATAGCAAGCCGATAAAATGGCAAGTGCAAAACAGACATAACAAATTAAAAAGGAAAAACTGTAAACACGTGCTCTCTCTAGAAAGCTGTTTATGGGAATTTGGCTCTGAGCTTCACGTGCTAAAAATTAAACACAGCTGAACGTGACAAAAAAAATAGTTTTGTAAACACGTGTTGCAGGTCATGGTAGCGCAGAATCTGGGGATAAAAAACGGCACGATGCTCTCATCTGCACGCTTCGAAAAACAACGTACAATTGTCAGAATGTAATGTTTTGAGAAGAAAACTTTGCAAAGATTAATGGATTATACGGTGATGTCAGTTACAAATCCACACACCATTCGTGGTAGATGACAGGCTTAGGCCGGTTCAGTAATTTGGGTCCCCGCTGCTTAGGTAAAATTTTTTTACCAAAATCACAGTAGGAGCTGAAAGAGGAACCTTACTAAAAAAAAGACAAGCCTTGCGAAGGTGTTATTAGCCGAATTAATCCTGACACGTTTTAGCGGCACAAGGAACAGTATCCCGTTACTGCGCATGCACCAAACTGAAGACGTAGGCGAACAGAACGTAGGCGAAACGACTCGTTGGCGTAGCGACCGTTAACCGCTCGTAGATAGGACCCATTCGTTTTTCTTCTTCTGTTTTTTTTTTTGTTTTCGTGATTTGATATTTAGGGGCTCCCGCCCCAAAAGTAATAGAGACTTTCGAGAAACGGGTCTCAGAGCGGAGTACAAAAAGAGAATAGAAAACTTCACCAGTCACCGTTGTACTTCTGGAATGAATTGTTAGCTAGAACTCATTCTTTTTTCTTCTCCTTTTTTTTTCGTGATTGATATTTAGCTCCGGCCCCAAAAGTTATATATCGGGGCTTTCGAGAAACGGGTCTCAGAGCCAAGTACAAAAAGAGAATGGAAAACTTCAGCGTTGTTTGTTCATGTTCTTTGAAATCTTGAATAAATGAATGTACCAAACGGTTGTTAAACGTCCAGAGTCGTAGTTTTGACGTTCTCATTGCTGTCACCGTCGTCGTTGCGTAAACCTCCTGTTAACTTTGATTTGTAAACTTTGTTGCAGGATGCGTAAAGCAGGTATCGCTTGTCCTACTGTGGCACTGCTAAAGAAACATATCCTGGTCATGAGTTTTATTGGCAAGGATCAAAAACCTGCTCCTAAACTGAAAGACGCTGTTCTTTCCTCGCGACAGTTGCAACAGGCTTATGAGCAGTGTGTCGAGGTAAGATGTATTGAAGGGTAGGATAGATGTAAATGTAGAAGCTCAGTGTTCTCCTCCTGTGTTTCCAGATAGAGAGTGAGCAGAAGTTGATTACTTAACAGGCAGGGTTCTATCTAGGATTTATCGTTTGGGGGAGAAGTCCCGAGTGGCCGAAGGCCACGAGCTTCCTTGAAATGAATATGCGCTGAGATGCAATCTGGTGCATTTTGAGACCCAATTTTGAGAAATGTGCACTGACCTCGTCGCGTCTGAATGATTTTTCCGATATAGTTACTTATATACTGTAACGATAACAATATTTTTGGGGGTGAAGCTGGGCATTTTGGGGGAAGCTTCTACCCCTCAAATACCTTAGATAGAACCCTGCTTGAAAATTTTTAAGACCACAAAGAGGTCAGAATATTATTAATAGTAATGTTAGAATATGGTGAACGGCCAACGTAAGTTCCCCGTTTGCCGTTAACCGTGAATTGCAGTTAAGTTGATGCACAGTAGAACTGAGTCTGTTAAAGGCACCTCTGCGCACCGGCCTCGAAATCAACCCGTAGATTCACTGTTACTGAAACTTGTACATAATGGCTTCCAGTCGGTCCGGTTACGAATATTTAACAATTATTCCTCGAACCCGAATGGGCTCTGAGTTTATAGCAGATGAGGCCGAATGCCGAACTTATCGGCCATGAGGGCGAGTGGAATAAGTGTTTTAGTAAAATCCAACTAGTTGGTCAAAAAAATCGAGACAAAACAACTTTAGCTAGTTAAATCTTTAATCCCTTTTTGCCGCCAAAAAGCCCGCGCTTTTCGCTACCAGTAGGCTATAACATATAGCCTAGTAGTAGCTCAACCAATCAGAACGCAGCATTGATAAAAGACCACTAGTTGGATTTTACTAAACTCAAATAACCTCTATGTAATGGCCATGTCTGTATGCCCCAATGCGGCAGCTTCTGAGGCATGGAGTTGGTCTGAAATGTCATCCGGCTCCTTGCCCCACCCCCCAACGGGTGGCAAGTCTTTCTCGCCTTTCAACCCGTTGGGGGTTGAAGTAAAGAGACTCGTAATTGTTAATATATAAACTATAGTATTTTTGTGGACTTTGTCCTTCTTTTTCTCTTTATTTCTTTTTTGTAAACGATAACAGTCACCTGTAATGAATTGTAAATGTAATGTATTGTAATTGTTTGTGTGTTCGAAATAAAAAAAATAATAATAAAAAAAAGAGACGAATGACGTTTCAGACTAACATTGAGTGACATCCGGAATATCAACTTTTTGAGCCGTTTTGCGCGCATTTCTGTATCATGGTCGATCCGCTCTGGGTAAGAGCGCTTACCTAAAGTCAGAACCTGCCGGCAGAATTGGTCATTTTGAAAATAAAATACTGGCGTTTCTCGAAATTTTTTCTTAAAACCCACCACTGCCGAGTATACCAATTAAGAAGAGGTTGATCTGGCTGGATATTAGTGATTAATAGAGGTATTCTCTTTACATTTGGACCAGTCTGGCTAGCCAGTTCTAACAAATGAAAAGAGCTGTAAGAGTTAGTACATGGTGTCCAACTTACGGGCGACTACAATTTCTTTAGAAACGAACCCTCACATTAATTCAGTAGTTGTTTGATATTATTTGAGCAAGGGTGGTGCAGTGCTGAGAGCACTCGCCTCCCACCGGTGTGGCTTGGGTTCAGATCTTGGCGTCGACGCCATATGTTGGGTTGAGTTTGTTGTTGGTCCTCTCCTATGCAGAAATGTTCTGATAGGTTTTTCTTCGGGTACTCCGACTGACGAAGAACCACCTTGTGGATGTGTTACCTCTAAATCGTGACTTATTTATTTATTTATTTATTTACTTATTACACCAAAGTATGATAATTGCCTACAGAAGCACTCTAATTGCCCTAGCCTTTATTTATTTTAGATAATGTGCACAATGTACCAAAAATGCAAACTAATCCACGCGGATCTGAGCGAGTACAACATGCTCTGGCATGAAAACAAGGTGTGGTTTATTGACGTGAGTCAGTCCGTGGAACCATTCCACCCGCACGCCTTGGAGTTCCTGTACAGAGATTGTACAAACGTGGTGGAATTCTTCACCAAATGTGGGGTGCCTAATGTACTGCAGGCTTATGAGCTTTTTAACAAGGTCACGCGACTGGAAATCACTCCTGATCCTGAGCAAAGCTTCCTATCACAGGTATTGTTGTCAAGGTAGATTGTAGGGAGGGGAGGGTGGAGTGAAGGCATGAAGGAGCACTAACAGATAAAGAGGGCCGGTTTCATTTAGTACAAAGTACCTATAGCTGTATAAGTGATATCCCCTGCCCCCTCCCCCACTGTTGCGGAATTCTTTTAACCCCGCTCCGCTGGTTCAAACAAATCAAGAGGACTGTATCTTTCGATGTAACAACACGATTTAATCCAATCCAACAATCTACTGCGATGTACAACTCTCATATACTCAACGTTCGTAACATGAACGATCAACGATCAACGATCAACTCAACTAAAAACTAAAACATTCTAAGTATACAGTGGTTTTTCTACTATCCTTGCGTAAGGCAGTATTTTTACATTAATCACATGTACAGTAAAAGTTCCCATTGTAATGTATCTAAATTAAACGTCTATTACAAAATCCCACGTTCTTTCACCTTATTTAGCCTAAGAAAATGCATGCAGTTACATCATTTTATATCGTAAATATACTCGGACTTTGTCTACATTATTGTGAAATCTAATGTCACGAAATCTAACTTCTTTGCGCTACAAATGTCAATTTGTAATTAATATTTAATCACAGAATAATCAAGTTAAGTATCACCTATTTCTTTCCCCGACACACTCCCCCCCTTGACTCGCCTACGAGTCAAGCATTAGTCTCGATTTCCATGTAGAGTCTAAGGCCGCATTTCTAGGAGGGACTCTTCCTGTCGGAATTTCTGTATTCCGGTTGCGTTCGGTAAGTGCTCGTATTCCCTCCCCTTCGCTTCGAAACTCCAACGGATAAAGTTTCTGAACTAGTCTGGAAAGTCGAATCGGTTTTCCCTTCGTAACGACTCTGACAGTAGCTCCTCTAACTACGTTATCTCTGCCTGTCACTAGTCTCTCTACAACTCCCATCTTCCATTCACCCCTTTTCCTTTCTTCCTCGTACACTACAACTACATCTCCTACTTCTACCTCTCCTTCTCTTTTTCCTGACTTACACTTATGGAATTCGCGCAGGTTTGCAAGATACTCTTTTCGCCACCTATTCCAAAAATGACTCAACCTAGTGCTGAGATACTTAAATCTTGCAGAGCAATTATCGATATTAATGGCATCGTCTGGTTCAGCAACCTCGTCTGGAAGCGTTTTGATGCGTCTCCCATAAATCAGGTGTGATGGTGTTAAAACCTCTTCTCCCACTTCATTGTATTCGTACGTCAATGGTCTTGAGTTGAGTGTACATTCTATTTCAGCTAGCAGAGTTGCCAATTCATCGAATGTCAATCTCGCGTTTCCCAGAGTTTTCCTCAGGCATCCCTTCACACTGGCAACCATTCTTTCGAAAAATCCTCCCCACCAGGGCGCCCTTTCTAAATTAAATTTCCACTCAATTCGGTCTCGCTCTAAATCTGCTTTTACTTCTGGATGGTCAAATAATTTCTTAAGCGCCTTCTCTGTTGCCTGAAATGTTTTCGCATTGTCTGAAACGATCAACTCAGGCATTCCTCTTTTAGCGATGAACCTTCGCAAACAACGCCTAAACGTTCCTGTAGACAAATCTTCTACTAACTCTAAATGCACCGCTCTTGTCACGCAACATGAAAATAACGCAATGTAAGCCTTGCCCATCTGCCCCGAGTTTTCTTTTACATTGAGTGGTCCAGCAAAGTCTACCCCTACCCTCGAAAATGGTGGAGCTTCCTTGACTCTAAAATCAGGAAGCGCAGCAGTCGGTGGGGTACTATAGGGTTTCCCAGTAAACTTTCTACAAGTAACACACTCACTCAAAATTCGCTTTACCACTTGCCTACCCCTTGGGACCCAATATCTTGACCTTAACTCAGCTAATGTAGCTCTAACTCCACTATGATGAACTCTCTGATGGCACTCTTCTATGACCAACCTTGCGAATCTATGCTGTCTGGGCAAAATGACTGGTCTCCTGGCTTCACTTTCTAAATCTGAATTAAATAGTCTACCTTCGCATCTCAAAATAGCTCTGTCTTCCTTAATACCAAGCTCGCTAACTAGCTGCTTAAAATTAGTCTGCTGCTTTAAATCGCTTTGGACTGACTTCAGCCATTCAATCTCGGCGCATTTCAATTCGTCTGCTTCCAATCTTCCTGTTCGCTTCTCGTTTTGCTTTGCCTTTGCTCTTGAGTTGTCAATGAATCTCTTTATCCAGGCTGTCACTCTGACGAGTCTCTGTAGCGTGCTGTAGTCATTCACGTCAATCACACCGGCAATACCACTCACAATTCCCGCCTTTGTCATCATTACAGCCGCGCTTTTCTTTTCTTCGATCAGGCTCTCTGGGGTTCTTAAGCTTTCTGTCAACACCGGCCAATCCTCTGGTCGTTCTGTTAGCCATGATGGACCGCGCCACCAAAGCTGGTTTTCTTTTAGCTGCGAGGCTAACACTCCCCTGGAACCAAGGTCAGCTGGGTTTTCTTCTGTCGAGCAGTACGCCCAATCTTCTTTGTCAGTCAATTTCAAAATCTCATTCACTCTATGGCGCACGAACTGCTTCCATTCGCCCTTGTTTTGTATCCAGCTGAGAGCTGTCTTGCTGTCCAGCCAGAACCTCACGCCATCCAACTTGACTTGTGACTGTAACGCGTTCCTCACTGTGTGCGTGAGCTGCGCAAGTATTCTCGCCGACATTAATTCTAAGCGCGGAATCGAAAGTTCTTTTAGAGGGGCGACTCTAGTTTTGGTAGCTACTAATCGTACATGAGCTTTACCATCCTTCGTGCGGTACACGAAGTAAACCATGGCACAATAGGCTTTCTTGCTGGCATCCCCGAACCCATGTAAATAAGACTCTGTTACATCCCCTCCCCCGGTCTCATAAAGGCATCTGTTTATACAAATCTCTTTAGTTTCTGCCAAATCTTGGACCCACTTGTCCCATTTTCTTTTAATTTCTCCGGTCAAAACCTCATCCCAATCGAATTTGCTGTTACAAATTTCTTGAAAAAGTACCTTCATACCGACGGTGACAGGGCTAACCATCCCCAAGGGATCAAATAAACTTGCCAGTAGACTTAATACATTCCTTTTAGTTGCTTCCAACCCCTTAGCCTTGTCGGCTATATGCTGAAAGTTGAAATGAAGGGTATCGTTTTCACAATCCCAAGCTAGACCCAACACTTTTTCTCCCTTCGTCCCACCCTGGGGTTCTAGTTTCGACTTCGCATAAGTCTCTTCGTCCTCGAGTCTACCCACTTCCCGGGTTGTTTTGTCGCTCTCGCATGTGCTAATCATTTCCCTTAGTCCCGGGTCATTGGTCTTCCACTTTCTCAGGGTAAATCCCCCCTTGGACATTCGCTCCTTTGCGTTCTTGTAAAGGGTGAAGGTTTTATCAACTGTTCGTTCCCCAGTCACTAAATCATCTACATAGAATCCCTCTATCATTCTTTTGACAAATTCAGGGTCTACTTCTGCATAGGTAGCCAGATGGTGTCTTATCGTCCCATTCAACAAGAAGGGTGAGGCATTTAACCCAAAAACGACGCGACAAAACCTGTACACTACAACACTCAAATTACTGTCACGCACGTCTTCAACCCACAAAAACCTCAAACTATCGCGATCTTCTGAATCCACAGCTACATTCAAAAATGCCTTTTCAATGTCCCCCACTAGCGCAATTTTGTTCTCCCTAAACCTTACAAGAATGTCGAATAATAAGGGATTCAGTGATGGCCCCGTATGCAAACAGTCATTTAGGGAGGTCCCATTCTTGGTTTCTTTCGACGAAGCGTCGTAGACAATCCTTAGCTTCGTGGTCTCTGCATCCCTACGAATAACTGCATGGTGGGGTAAATAATGGACGTTTCCACCCGGCTCTTCTAATTCGGACACTTTCTCGATCACCCCTGCGCTTAGCTGTTCCTTTATAATCGAATCGTATTCGTTTAAAACTTCTGGTTCTCTCTTTAGTCTCTTCAACTGACCTTTCATGCGCGACACGCTGTTTGCAAAATTACTCGGAAGGGGGTCATGCCCTAGTTTCCATGGCAGCTTGACTGAGTACCTCCCCTCCAAAAACTCTATTTCGTTCTCGAACGATTCGTGGACTTCGCCGCTACTTTTTATGCCTAAACTTTCTAGATCCCATAATCTGCTAACTTCACGGTCTAAACTAGCTTTGTCTAGACCTGCACTGTCTTGCGATATGAAGTTTACTGACACTTCCTGAATACTCGCTTCGCTAAAGTCATATCGCCTTTTTAGGGGACCCGATAACACCCATCCCAGTTCACCCTTTAGCATAGAGTCGCTAGAAGTACTATTCCCTCCACCCCTCCCCTATAAAAGATGCTTTCTGTCACAGGATCACAGGTTTTATACTTACAAAGTAGAGAGGTTAAGCAACAATAATGGCGACGGCAGCGAAAGAAGTGAAGTCGCGGGTTTTTTGTGTGTTTGTTTGTCTGTTTCTTCTCAAACTATCGCGATTTTTCAAGCTCACTCGAATGGAATTGAAATGAATTGAATTCTTATGAGGATCATATTCAATTTCAGAAAGAATGTGGTGTAGATTAAAGCGCCTCTAGTTTAAATCATTTGCTTACTGGTAACTTATTGTAGAACACACGCTATTACATTAAGACGACTCTTGCAAGGTCAGGTGAGTGCTTTTTACCAGTCATAAAACCAAGTTAGAAAACTTGGATCAATTTAGATTTCTTGGAAACTGCCTACCTACCCCTCCCTTAACTTAAATATAACACTTACTTCTCACTTAGGGCAAAATGTTGGGTCAGGGGAGGGGTAGGTGGGCAGTTGCCCTGGAAACCTAAAACGATGTCCCCTCTGTCTTCCCTGTTAAGGACGCTTTCTCTTGTTGTATTGCACACAACGCAGAGAACTGTGAAGGCCCCTAATTTTTTTAATTGCTTTTCAGATTCAGTCATATGAGGTTCATGAAATGTCCGTTGGAGGAAGGAAGAACGAGGCACCTTATGACTTTGATTACTTCTTTAACAAGACGCAGTCATAGAATCAATAAAGAGCCATACAATTATCACCAAACTCACCGTAACTATTGTTTACCAGAATCAAAGTGCTTATTTCAAAAAGTCAACTTCTCTGCCTTTTGTAAGTTGCTTTTAAAACATAAGAGTGTTCTCTAAGGATCATAAAACCAAGTCACTGGTCAGTCATAATGCGAGAACCAATCAGATCACGAAGCGAGCGTACCGTTTTCCTCGAATAATAGCCGTCTATCGATTAATCACCTCCCTCGAATAATCGCCCTCCTCTGATGGAAATATTTAAGATAATCGCCTCCTTCGAAAAATCGCCCATCCGCGCTCCTCTCGCCATCTTGTCTTCCTTTTATCCCCTCCCTGTCAAGTTGAAGTGCAATGTGATCCAGCAAAACTGATCAGTGGCGATTCAAGCTATAAAAATTGATCAAGGAACGAAATTTGGAACACTTAGAAGTTTATTTGATGTGACTGTTTTTTGATTTAATGGGAAAATAAGACGAAATATTTAGGGCACGACTTCCAGTGAGCAATATTTGAAATCACAGTGAAAGCAAAGCTAAAATATCCTCCCCCCCCTCCCCCAAACAAAAGGGGGTTACTCCCTTGTTGTACGTTAAAAAGCGTGGATTTTTTGCTCCTTTAAATTTTGATAAAAAACTGGATATAGAATTTTACCAGGTTCTGGTATTGGTTAATTTGTTATCATTAGACTCTCAGGTCTGAAATAGAGTAGTTATTTTAGTAGTGAAGTTTACAATATATTGATTTAGCCAGGGCAAAAAGCGAAGCTCTCGATAATATTTATAGTTTGTTCAAACAAAATAGAAAATCGTATAATGCTAAGCGACGAAGGCAACGCCGGAGAACGGAGAAAAACAACAATAGCTCCAATTAGCAAAAAAGCAACTTTGCACGTGCAGCACCCTATTTTTATACATTTTTTTGTTGTTGTTTTGCACGACTACAACATGAAACTTCCAGAAAATTCTTAGTTACACGTTTTATGGAGGAAATGTCGTACGTGTTCTCGTTCACTTTTTTTTCTCACTCTGCCGCTCATTTTCACTTTGTATTGGTGGCCTCTAGCATTTCTCATTTTGTCATCGCCACTACAAAATTTTCATGTTGTTCTTCCAACAAAAAAATGTCTCCTTTGTTTGTTATCTCTCTTTCTAGATCACTGTCGCCCTTTTTCTCGATGAGCTGCGCTGGCCTGCCACCTGCTTTCTCTTTTTCTCTGTCTTTCTCCTGCTCTATAGTCCAAATTTGTGGACATGACAATTAATCTAAGCTAAATACTTTAGACAACACGGATACAGAAACAATTTCCGCTTTCCGTTTTCGTCTTCATTGACTCTTTAGTTGTCTCCGCTTTACTAGACGCTGGTGGCCATGCGATTTCCCGCCAAAATAACCTCGAGTTGCATTTGGGTTGCCATACCTGTTGATTGAGTTATTTTACATTCGTATGCCTGTGGTGCTGGCGGACGGTCGCTCGGTCGGTTTACGGTCACGTGATTACCAAATTTTCTCGGATGGGTAGATTACTTCATTTTCTTACCCATGGTGGTGTGCGCGCCAGAGCACCGCTTTTATTTGGTCTGAAATAGTGAAGGAAATCTGAAAGCATTCCGCCCATCCCCACCCGTATTTATCAGGAGTACCCCGCAATTTATCACGTCATGACGGAGTGTTTTCATCGGATGTCCAAAAGTGAGCAGTAACTCTTGAAGAAATGGCAAGTTAAAGGGTGGTTTTCACTAGCGACGGAGTCGAAGTCGGCATAGGAATCGTAAGCGGAGTCGTAAGAGCGTTTATGACTTAGTGAAAATCAAAAATCGGAGTCCTAAGCGGAGTCATAAGCTCGACGGACTCGGAGTCGGAAGAATCAGAACGTTTCCATTTTCTTCAGACTCCGCTTATGATCTAGTGAAAACCAAATTGTCGGAGTCAGAAGTAGAAGCGGAAAGATAGACCAATCACAATGCACGTTTCTCCGGCTTTCTATCTACGCGCCTTTTCCTGGCCTTTTCTCCAAATATATCATTTATTGCATTTTTGAATCGCGTTGCTTCGCTGGAAACCAACCAACATCGGCCGGTGAAAAAAATGTTTTTTTTTTTATGAACAAGCACAGTTAAGGTTCGTTTAAACGGGCAACAAAAAACATTCAACTTGTCTTGCAACATTGCTGCAAAACGTGTTGAATAGCGATGTTGCGCGTTTTACCACCCAAATAAAACCTGTTTTGCAACAAATCAGGTTGTTAACCGGTTTAAACGTGGGTGGTAAAACCCGCAACATCGCTCTTCAACTCGTTTTGCAGCAATGATGCAAAACAAGTTGCACAGTTTTGTTGCTTGTTTTACCGTAGCTTTATACTAGAAATACGTGAATCGGAGGACCTCGCAAAGGAGTTCGGGTTGAAAGGGAAATAAGGCAGTAGGGAAGAAAATTTATAGGTTTAAAAAAACTCAAGCAGTATAAAGAAACAAAACAAAACTGCAATAACTAAAAAGAAGACTAAACGTAAAGGAAATCATAAAAGAAGAGAAGAGAGGAAGAAAACCAGGTTCTGCCCGGAATGGATTTCGGGACCTTCAGCACCTTAGGCCGTTGCGTTACCACTACGCCAAGTGAAACACATTGTGGGGAGCACGATAAACGTCCGCCAGCGCGCCCTGTATAAAGTTGAGCGAGCCCTGTTAAACACGAATTCAGATATACTTTTCAGAAGAATGACTGCTGTTTTGACGGTGAAATCCTAACGTAAACGCTTTTCATGGCATTTAAAGAAGAGATGCCCAACTAAAAGCCGATACCGGTATAAACTCATCTCTGAGCAAAACATGTTTTGTTATCCGATTTTCGCTCAAATCTTAAGGCTAATTATCCAAAATCGCTTGCATTTGCTCTTAAAAGTACTTTTGCATTCAAAATTCATTGCAAAAAGCACTTACCGAATCACCCGATCTCGAAATCTCGAAAGCGTTTCTGATAGGTCTCGGAAGTCTCGTTTTTCCCTGTTTTTTCTTTCTTTTTGCATCTCGGAGTCTCGAATTTCGTTGCCGACAGGTCTCGGAGTCTCGGATTTGTTGTCTTATCGTTTGGTTTTCAGGTGTCGAATTTTTCAGAGTTCAAGGATACAACTTATCGAACTGAGAGAATAAATTAAGACAGTGTCGTGCAACACGCATTTAGGGTTATATTTACTCGACCATCTGTTAATGCCGAGCATGCTCATTTGTTCACGTTTTCACCAACAAGAAAGTGGTGACATTGGATCCAGAATGGAGGGGCGTACTGTTTCTAATGTAAACATCTAACAACCGTACATTATATTATGCGGTATTTGCTTACCATGTGTTTTTCCAAATACTTTTCTTGACCTGTTGATGACCGTATTAACTCGGTTCTACTGTAATTAATTAAGTCTCGGGCTCGGATTTCGAGGCATTGAGTCTCGGGCTCGGATTTTTAAGCAAGGATCTCGGCGTCTCGGCGAGTCTCGGATTTTACCATTCGCCTGCCCTCTAAAACGACCGCAAAAAAACAAGCACTTTGGTCATAGATGGGAAATCGCTTTCAGTCGAATGATGCCTAGAAACAAAAAATGCGCTGTGAATTCAAACTACTGTGTGACGTCATGGCAGACACCATCGGATATTATACAACTATCCCCCGAAGAGGAGGTGAATAGTGGTGGTGTTATCGAGACGCGATATATGGGGGGGGGTGGGGGGGAGTGTGTATATCTAGTACTATGAACCGACCCTGAGGGGGATAGTTGTTTTAGTATTTACCAAATCGGTTGGATAAAATCAAAAACGAACTTTTTGTAGATAAAAAACCATCACCTAGTTAGTCTAGTTAGAGTTTGTTTACGTATCAATTGACAGTGTTTCTGGGATCATTTTTTATGACTTGTTGCAAATTCAGTAAGAATTTTTTTTTCTACTGACCAGTAAACACCGACAAGCCAAATTTTGTCTCTTTATTGGTATTTGTTGGTGCAGCTGCTTCCCTTACCGCTAAAATTCCATCTTTCGAAACTGTCGTGAAACAAGAAGCCATGTTGAATTCCGTCCCAAAACAGTGAATATCCAAGGATATTCCGCGTTACGGGAGCCAATCAGAACGCGCGAAAATTGCTATCCACTGATTTGGTGAATACTAAATACAAGTATAGGCGCTGCGAGTTTGCAGCTCGCTATGATCCACACGCGGTCCACGTACTGCGCGCTCTCTTCGCGCGACGAGATTATGAACTCACTTCGTTCGGAATAAATTGAGACAAACTTTGCTTCTAAAATAATGTCATTTTATTTTAATGCTTTATTATTGTTATTATTTTAATTATTATTGTTTTTACCTTCGACTTTTTTCGGGTACGCACATGCGTACCGTACGTACAGGTAGCTACGCCCATCACTTTTAAACAATACAATATTGTGTTAGCAAAACTAAGTTTTGATACGCCGCAAAATGTACTTGATTAACGCAAAATGTAAGACATTTTGACAAAAAATGAAGCAATAGTTTTAATGCAAAATGTAACAACTTTATAAACGCGTTGAAAAGCGTAGCCTATAAGAGCGTTTCAGTATTGACTAGCTTGACATTGTCTTACTGCTAAAATAATATGATCTTCTAGCCCAGTGTTATCAAAATATAAGAAAATTGAATAAATTTAGCAGTGACTAAAGTCATAATCACGGTTAGAGGTGGGATCACGTCCTCGGCAGTACTTTTTCCATGGATCCCTGTGTGAAAAGGAGAAAGAATACATATTTTTAAAGATGTAAAATTAATACTCTTGGTGGTTTTGAAGACTAAAAGAACACTTCTCGTATTAGGAAAAACTGTTTTCTTTGCAGAGGGCCGAAAAACGGGCGGGTCATGCTTTAACATACATCTGAGAACCTGTTTAAGTTGAAGACTGCTTTTAACCGACGACGTTTATTTTGTATGCCAGCCTCGTGGGAATTTAATTTAACTGGTGGCCAATCTCATTGTTTTTGAGTCATTCAGGTTTTAAGGCAATATAGAACTGAGGGTTTTTTTGTACGGAGAATCCATGTTGTTTGATTAATGCATTTCAGTGTCACAACAAGCCCGAATTGAGGTACTGAAAAAACACTCGCCACTCTTAAGCACTCGAGATTATGAGTCGTTTAGCACTTTGTTAAAAAGTTCTTACATGACTGAACATTTTTTTATGCACAACAACAATCATCCACAAAAAAAAACACCTAAGATAGAAGCCGCTGCAGTTCTTAGTCTTCCTACCGTACATGAGCAACTTTTCCTTGACAAAGGAAAACGTGTTTAGCTGTGTTGCCTGCCAATGTTTTGAACCTTTCATGTACAATAATTGCACTGGCTCTATTCTTCCCTGTTGTAGACGGGAGTGAAAACTAGATCCTTAGTCTTGTATCAACAAAACTTATTTAGTGAAAACTTAAGAAATCATTTTCTTTTATTTTGCCAATAAGTGAAGGGGCCAAGGCCCCCCTTCGCCCCTCCCCCTCCGCAGGCTCTGTTATTGTCCACTATTTAACCCACCAATCGCTGAAGCCTTTGCATTTCCTGATTTTGACAGTACAGTCTGTGTCCCAACTGATACCTGAGCTGAGGAACGCTGCAGGAAACATAAAATAGAAAATAAAAGAATAAACAAATAAAAGAGAGAAAACAGCTAGCAAACAAACTTTTCTTTACATCACGATTGAAACAAGGAAATTGATGTTCATAAACGAAACGTACTAACTCACAACCAACGTAATAAAAGAAGAAATCAACGCATAAATAAAGCGCGCTTTTTATCTGAATGGCTTTTACCAATTACAATATATCTAGAGGTAATCATTGATTACGGATCCGTGTTCGTCGCTTAAAGTTGATTTCCACGTGCGTAGGTACGTAAAATTTACATGTGTTCGCAAATAAAATAGAAGCAGTGCGTGAAAGGTCACTCGTAAGCGTAAAAGTTGATCCTCGCTCAACTTCCCGTTTAAGCTCAGCACTTTTTATCTTGCCTCTATTTTATTTCGTGATTAAAATTTACGTGCGTTAACGTGCGTAGCTAAAAACGCGTCAGTGGAAATCAACCCTTACGGAAAAATTAAGGAAAAGACATCGTGTCGAAAGAAGTCCCAGTTTCCCGGCCGAGGCGCGGCTAATTTGCAGTCGCCCGTGATAGCTCGAAAATTTCTGCCTTAACGCCACAGGAACACCAGATTAGGATGCGTTCTGACGAACGCTATAAGGCTATAAGGCTATGTTCATGCTATACCAGATAGCTTTTCGTGGCAGCACGAAAGGGTGCCATCGCGGTATAGTATGAACACCTATCTGGTCTGTGACTCTCCCGTTCTAGAGATCGACCGGTAGGTCGCAGGTAGTCGCTCCATCACAGAAATTTCGTCGAAATCACCGTTCTTACGTGCAAAAGCCCTATCCGGCATGGTTATCGTGTCGGCGCAAAAAGTTATCCGGCCGTATAGTGGCAACATAGCCTAATTATAAATGACGATGTCTTAACAGTCCCAATATATTTGGCGCAAGGCTATGAATTACCGTTAATCCTCTATTAAGCCCCCCGGGGGGCCTTATTTATTTCAAGCCCATTTGAGGGGGCGCTTAATAGAGACGGGAGGCTTATTTGAGAGGGGCGGGGGGCTTATTTAAGTTAAAAACGACAATGGTATCAGTTCTCCATAAAGAACTAGATTGCAGAGTGGAAAGGTCAAGTACAAGAAGTTTTAAGTCATGCAGCTGAGGATCAGAATCAAATCCGATCTTCCAGTTGGTAAATAAACCATCCTGCGAGTCAGTCCAGACGAAGTTTTACAGTCGTGGTTTATTGATACAGTCCATGATTTATTAGTGAAGAATAAATAGGGGGGAGGGAGGGGGCTTAATAGAGAGGGGGGGCTTATTAACTTTCTTCCCCTGAAAAGGGGGGCTTATTAGAGGGAGGGGGCTTATTTGAGAGGGGGGGCTTAATAGAGGATTTAAGGTAATCTGAAGATACCCTCCTAGTCCAAAAAAAAAAAAGACATGGTAATCTTTTGTTTTATTTTAATATTTTTTTTAGAAAGAATGCAGCGCGAGCTGAAACTTTAATATGTAAATTAAAGTGAAAAAAATTCATTTGGATTTTGAAAAATACTGCCTGAAAAGCAAATAGTTTCTTGTGAAAGTACGGCTGAAGAGGTTTCCTATAAATCGTCACATTACAGAATTTCACCCATTGGACTTAAAAGTTAGACGGAATCACCTTTGTACTGCATAATAAACATGAAAAAGCAGCTTTCATCGAATGGTTACACTCAAAAATCGATTTTAACCACAGAGAATAAGGACGAAAGGACTGACTGCTCAGCAGCTTTCTTTTGAAGGATCACACTTGAGGAAAGCAACCAACGTAAGAAGTGCTATAGCTAGCCATGGCAACTTTCGTTTTAATGCATGTGGCCAGCCTCTAAAGCTAAAATCGAACTAGTCACGTACATCACAAGCCAGCGTAAATGACCAGAGGCTATGGATATTTTAGTAAACAAATTATTTAGTAATAAGAATAATTTATAAGTTAGAAAATGCTTGATTCAGCGTAGAGTAGAAAGGCCCTGCTTTCTTTAAAAGATTCAGGTGTTTATTTTAGAAGCGACACGATGAATTTGGCACTATTCAGCGTTCCCAGGGTCATCTACTGAATTAACTCTTACCAGAACAGGGGTAACCACAGTCATAAGTATTTATCTGCCAACATTTAGTGTATTTCTTGCTGCCCCGGTCGCACCAGTATTTGCCGCTTATCTGATATATTCCATAACTGGTCCCACCACCGACCAGGTCATATTGGTAGTCACTCCCTTTATCTACCAAACAAAGCCCTATGGACAACAATAGTACAATGCTATATAAACAGCCTTGTGTTTGTTCTGCTATGAACACTGGACGAAAAAATGGATTTGCAAAAATTTGTTCCTGGCAAATATGTGGCACCAATGTGGGGTACTCCGGTGATCCCTTCTCCTCAAAAACCAACATTTTCAAATGCCAATTCGACCAGAAATCAGGCGGACGAAGAACCACTGTAAGTGGATTTGCTACCTCTAAATCGTTATTTGTTTATTTATTTATTATTTATCTATTTATTAAATACAGCAACAAGATATGATAATTGCTGACGGAAGCACTCTAATTGCATAAGCCTTTATTATTTTGTAGATCATGTGCACAATGTATCAAAAAAGCAAAGTAATCCACTCGGATCTGAGCAAGTGCCGACAAAACCTGTTACATTTCGCACAAAAAAAGTTCTTACAGCTTCCAACATCTTGCTCAGAAATTCTTACATTTCGGGTTATTGCTACATTTTACGTCAAAAGTTGTTACATCATTTGCTTGCGACTTGAGGGCAGCCCTGAGAGTGTTCAGTTTATCACCGAATAGCTCGACGCTGTTTTACTGATGAAATAGTATGATTTTCCAGTCCAGGGGTGTAAAAATAAAAGTAAATGCATTCTAGCAGTGACTCCAGTCATAATCAGGGTTAGAGGTGAGATCTCCTTGGCAGTTGTTTTCCCATGCAACCCTGTGTGAAAAGGAGAAAGAAAACATATTTTGAAGATGTTAAATTCATACAGTTTTGGTGGTTGTTAAGCTAAAAGGACATTTTTTCATTTTATTTTGTTTTCTTTGCGGGAAGCCTAGAAAGCAAAACAGGCGAGCCAGCCAAAAGGCTGGGTAAGACAATCTGGTGGAAATATAATTCATGTTAATTGAAACGGGCGCCATTTTTATTGTTTATTATTATTATTATTATTTATTGTTATTATTATTGGGATGTACATAGAAATTTTCATTGTTTTAGTTTATAGACAGTTGTTTACCTTTGCTCTGTTGAAAACCTCCAGACCACCAAGAAGTCTTTTTTAACAATGGTTATACTAAATTTGTATTTAATTTTGAATTTGAGAAGAGTTTAATAAAGTATTATTATTATGATGATGATGATGATGATGATGATGATGATGATTATTAATTTTTAAATTCTGAGGCGATAGAAAGGGCTAGTTTTGTAACGAGTACCCATTTGGTTGACCCATAACAATATATGAAATATCGTAGAAACTGAAATATCATGAAATATAGCCTTGATCGACGTGTGTCATTGCCAATGTCAAGAAGGTAGAAGCCGTTGCATTTCGAACAGTACATGAGCAAGTTTTGCCAGACAAAGGAAAACTTTTTGCGTGGCAACTGGGTCTCAATTGGGGTCAACCCAATTGTCGAACGTCTGTCTGTCGCAGATTCGAGTGGGCCCACGAGACAAGTGTTTAATTTATTTATGCTGATTCAACAGTGATTCAACTATATCTGTCAGGATATCTGTTGAATTCAGCTGATTGACGTCGATCTTTGCCTGCTTTTAATTCCTGAGAAAGATTTCTCACATGAAAAATGTGAAGTTTTTCTAAATCGCAAGAATCAGCCACTATTAACCTACCACATTAAGAAGCCGTTTCCCCCGGGCACGTAAGGGGGGTCATTGCACTTCTTGATTTTGACGGCACATTCTGCATCGTTGGCGATATTGGAGTCGGTGAAGACTGCAAGTTTAGGACAGAAAATGATTAGACAAGTTTTAATTGCGCTCTCCGATTGATCAAGGAGTACGTAATCCCCCCCCCCCCTTCACCCCCCAAATAATCATTTTGATTTTTAGAAGAATGAACTGATGTAGAGGAAAGGTTTTCATGCCTTTCAATAAACACTCAACCCAATTGAAACTCGAAGCAAGGATCTGAGGTCACACATGGCAATCGAACTCGGAACCAGTCGCACAGACGCTGATCACTGAAGCGACTGCTAATTCTTAGCCCTCCAAAGACAATGGCTATTGGACAAGTATTGATTCAGGGGTGTCTTGATGAGCTAAATTAACACTAAATTTTGTATTATAGAATATTATAGGATCGACGATCTTAACCCTTACCTATGGGGCAGTCGGCGGCAGTTACACCGCAGCCGTAAGTATTTATCTGCCAGCATGCTGAATATTTCGGACCCCCCTTGCACCAATACCCTTTGTTTATCTGAAATATCCCATAATCCTTTGTGTCGGTGTTGACCGCGTCATACTCGAACTCACTCTCATGTTCCACCAAACATAGCCCTAGAGGTAAAAAAAAAGTACAATGTCACAGCTCATTAGTTTACGAGGACAACTAACTAATATAAGATCCCACATTGGGCAACTTTAAAGGGAACCTCCACTCTTACTACAGAATAAGTTTAAATCGAATAAAATTATGTTGATAAACAAATTTGCTCGAAATTTGTCCTTAAAAAAAGTATTTATATCAGGAAAAGCGAATTTTAAAATCGCTTATTTTCACTCTCAAATTTCGCCGGCGCCGCCATCTTGAATAATTATGACGTGTTACGGTTGCTCTATTGTTCTGACACAAAGAGCTTTTGTTTAATAACAATAGGGCAACCGTAACACTTCACAGTTATTCAAGATGGCGACGTTCGCAAAATTTGAAAACAAAAATAGGCGAATCTTAAAGTTATTTCTTTCGGATAGAAACGCTTTCTTTAAAAATATTTTAGATTGACTTGACTGTAACAGTTATTTCCTGTGATTTAAAGTTATCTTTTTGTTGAAGTGGAGGTTCCCTTTAACTGGAGCTAATTTACATTTACATTGTACATTATCATCTTGCAATATCTATAACAGACATATTCGCAAGCTCCTAATTAATAACTAAAGTGCTACGACTAGGAAATATAAAAAAATAAAAATACAATAAATCGAAAAGGATAAACATCACACTAAAAAAATGTAGTGTCAGAGATGGTAGCTTTAAATTTTGCAGTTGAATCCATAAATAATCAGATGGCAGGCTATTCCAGTCAATGATAGTAATTGCTGCGATATAAGAACACATCGTCCCTTGTAAGGAAAACCAAGACAGTCTTGGATTTTGAATCCTTTTACGCTGTGTATTCCTGGATTCCAGCAACTGGATTCCGGATCCCGAATTCCAACCGTTGTTTATTGGGATTCCTAATTCCTACGCCACTACGTTGTTATTGCGTTACTTTCAGCGGTATCTAGCGCGCGCATGCGCCCGTCGCTCATCTTTGTAATTCCATGCGGTTCTCGTTCGGTCTTCAGTAAACCTTCGTTAAGACACAGTTTGTTCCTTATTGGCGTGGTGGCAGCGGCTTTTACCCACGTACGGTGGACCCTAACAAAAGTGTGGTTGTCTGGAACCTGTGACCCTTATTTTCACGAAGTGCGAAGATCAACAAATCAACGTGAATTCGCCGTAACCGCTCGTGTAGGAAAACCAACATGGCCGCCGCTCCCAGGGCGCCTAAACAATGGCAGCTTACGAAAAACGAGACCATCACCTCGTACGAAAGTTGGAGGCAAAACTTAGTCTACATCTTATCCCTGGACAAGAACTTTGTCCCATTTTTAGAGGCCACATGGCAAAAACAAACCGCCGCCAACCCTCGAAGAGGCCTTACGAATGATGGCACGTCTGTACCTGAGGCACAACGACTTACTGCCGCTCAGAAAAATGCCCACCTGGATCTTCTGCTCGGACAGAGTGCCAATTTTTGCCCCGTGATCTCCCGGAACTCCATAGTAAAGCACTCTACCTCTCTGAATGACATTTGGCAGAAAATTCGCCAGCATTTTGGGTTCCAGTCCTCCGGAGCCCATTTCCTCGACCTTGCAAGCATCAGCCTTCAAACTGCTGAGCGACCAGAGGACTTATTCCAACGCCTCATGGCCTTCTTCGAAGACAACCTCCTTGCAGTTAATGGTGGCTTAACCCACCACGGTGAGCAGGTGACCGCAGATGAAGATCTTTCCCCATCGCTCGAGAACACTATAGTAGTTCTGTGGCTGCAGCTGATCCACCCTGGCCTACTATTACTGGTAAAGCAGAAGTATGGTTCTGAGTTGCGTAACAAGACCCTTGCCTCACTCAAGCCAGAGATCTCACAAGCACTTAATTCCCTCCTTGATGAACTACGCTCCATAGAGGACACCAAAGCCATGCGTATTAGCAATGTCAACCCCAGACGCACCTCTAATGGCGGACAGGGTCAACCACGCCGCCGTCCATTTGTATCTTGTATTCTCTGCAAAACCGCTGGACGCCCTCACAACACCCATGATCTAATGGAGTGCCGTTACCTGCCTGATCGTGACAGGAGACCATTGGCCCGCTCACGTCTTATAAACGACGATCCTGATGAGTTTGCGACCGGCGACTGTGGCCCTTATGATGAGTGTTGCGATCATGCCCTCCCGCCTGAGCACAGTGATGTACCTACTGCACCTACTGCACTCCGTGTCAGCATCATTCAATCACCTGTTCTCAACACCTTTTACCACGAGCACCCCGTGCAGCTCACCCTTGATACTGGCGCCACGTCTAACATGGTTCGTGCCTCGGCCGCTAAGTTATATGGCCTACCTGTTACCCCAGCTTCTCAGATGGCCCGCCAAGCCGATGGAGTTACCCCTATGGATGTGGTGGGTGAAGTGCATTGCACTCTCACTCGTGGACAGCAAGCATTTAAACTAGACGCCCTAGTTGTTCGCCAACTCGATGTTGACATTTTAGCGGGAAACCCCTTCCTGGCCTGAAACGACATCGGCATCCGTCCTGCCAGGCGCCAAATTGTAATCGGCGGGTCTGACGTAATCCACTATGGTACTGCTTCCAAACACACTACTCAACCAGCTGTGCGACGCACCCAGTCCTTTCTCCTACGCAACCCGCAACGCACAGTTATACTGCCAGGAGAGTACGTTCAGCTTGACACCCTTGTGATTCTGACCCAGATACGTTATGGGCCCTTGAACCCCGACTAGACTGTCCATCCAACACCCCCTCAAGGCAGAAGGAGCATGGCCCCCACCTCAACAAGTCCTCTCTGTGGACCACGCTGTACGCATAACCAATACGACTGACTCTCCTATACTTCTTCGGACCGGCGAGCAGCTGTGTCATGTAAGGCATGTTATACCTGTTGACAGGATAGACACCACATCTGCCCCTACCTCTACAGCCACTACTGCCCCTACCTGCTGCCAGCCCTTCTCCACTAATGTGATCCTTGACCCCGATGGCTGCTTAGACGAGGACATTCGCGACAAGTTCAGAGCACTGAATCTGGAGTTTGATGATGTTTTCAACCCCACTATCTCGAAATATAACGGCGCTAGCGGTACCATTGAAGCTGTTGTCAACATTGGTCCCACACTCCCCCCTCAGCGTAAAGGCAGACTCCCACAGTACAACAGAAGCACCCTTGAGGAATTGCAAGCCAAATTTGACGAGCTCGAAGTGGCTGGTGTGTTTGCCAGACCTGAACAGGTGAACGTACACGTTGAGTACTTGAATACCTCCTTCCTTGTTAAGAAACCCAATGGGGGTAGCAGACTTGTGACATCCTTCGGCGAAGTTGCCCAGTATAGCAAGCCCCAGCCTTCTCTAATGCCTAACGTCGATGGTGTACTGCGTGAAATTGGCAAGTGGGAGTATATAGTTATCTCGGACTTGTTAAAGTCGTTCTATCAAATTCCACTGGCTCACTCTTCCATGAAGTACTGTGGGGTGTGTGTTTATACCCGCTCTGCTATGGGCATGCCTGGGTCGGAAACATGCCTCGAGGAGCTAATGTCTCGAGTTCTGGGTGACCTAATTCAAGAGGGTTGTGTTGCCAAAATTGCTGATGACCTGTACGTTGGTGGGAGCAACCCTACAGATGTCCTTCATAATTGGCGGCGCGTTCTTTCCTTGCTTCAACGCAACAATCTTCGTCTCTCCGCGCCCAAAACACTCATCTGTCCCAGAAAGGCCACCGTGTTGGGTTGGGTATGGTCTAATGGCACCCTACAGGCTAGCCCCCACAAGTTAGCCGCATTATCCTCTGTTGACCCTCCTACTACTGTTCAAGGCCTACGATCTTTCGTTGGTGCATACAAGGTGCTCAGCCGAGTACTCCCTAAGTTCGCTGAATTGCTGGACCCCTTGGATCAGGCCACCGCTGGAAAGGAATCTCGAGAAAGACTAGTGTGGTCCGATGAGTTACTCCTGTCTTTCAAGTCCGCCCAACATGCCTTGGAAAACCACAAGACCATCACAATCCCCAACCCCGCGACGCTTTGTGGATCGTGACAGATGGTTCTGTGAAGAATAGAGGCATCGCAGCCACACTCTACACCCACTGGAACGGTAAACTGCTGTTGGCTGGTTTTTCAGCGCGAAACTGCGAAAGCATCAAGTGACCTGGCTACCGTGTGAGATCGAAGCTCTGGCCATAGCCTCCTCCATCAAGCACTTCGCCCCTTACATTATCCAGTCATCCCATACAACCGAAGTTCTGACGGACAGTAGGCCTTGTGTCCAAGCCTACGATAAGCTTAGGAGAGGAGAGTTCTCAGCCAGCTCCAGAGTTACCACCTTCCTGTCTACAGTCAGCCGCTATTCTGTCCATGTGCGCCACATTGCAGGTGTTGAAAACCTCCCTCAGACTTCGCCAGCAGGCACCCAAGAGAATGCTTGGACTCCAGCTGTCAGATTTGTCGCTTTATTGCGGAGTTGGAAGATTCTGTTGTGCGCAGCATCTCCGTGAGCGAAGTCCTAGAGGGTTCTGTTCGAATGCCCTTCACCAGCTGCGCCGCATGGCAAGCTACCCAGCTGGAATGCCCTCACCTCCGGCGAACCCATTCTCACCTCAGTCAAGGTACCCGACCTTCAAAGAAGGCTACCAAAATAATTGATGTCAAACGCTATCTTCAGGACGTCGTCATCGCCACTGATGGTCTTCTCGTTGTCAAAGACCACCCGCCTTTCCAGCCCCCTCGCGATCGCATTGTTGTCCCTCGCACTGTTCTTGATGGACTCCTGACAGCCCTTCACATCCGTTTCAGTCATCCTTCCAAGTACCAAACCAAGCGCCTTTTTAGCAGGTACTTCTTTGCTCTGGACCTTGACAAAGCAATTGAGACTGTCTCTTCCTGCTGTCACACCTGTCAATCTCTGAAGACTATCCCTAAACACCTGCACCCGCAGTCATCTGCCGATGCTCCTCCTACCATTGGCGTATCATTTGCAGCTGATGTCGCTAAGCGTCATCGTCAACTGATCATGGTTCTAAGGGAAACAGTGTCTTCGTACACCGTGTCTTCCTTCATCGCGAGTGAAAACTCGAAGACCTCCGCAATGCCATCATCATGCTCTGCTCTCAGCTCCGTTCCCTTCGCGACGGAGGGGTGATCGTCCGCGTTGATCCTGCCCCTGGCTTCTCCGCCCTTGCCAAAGACAGAGTACTCCTCTCTTATGGGATCACCCTGGAGGTTGGTAGGCCCAAAAACCTAACAAGAATCCTGTGGCTGAGCGCGCAATCGAAGAGCTAGGCTTGAGATCCTCAACTTGTCTCCTGAGGGAGGCCCCGTCTATCAAACTACGCTGTCCTTAGCAACGGCCAATATGAACTCCCGCATCCGCCGTGATGGCCTCTCAGCTCTTGAGTTGTGGACGCAACGCGACCAGCTCACTGGTGCGCAGCTTCCAATTGTCGACCGCCAGATTATCCTCAGTCAAAACTTTTCCCGCCAGCAGAATCACATGCCGAGTGCTAAGTCCAAGGCCCATGGCTTTACCAAAGCCTCCATCCCCACTGTCCTTGTTGGTGACCTTGTTTTCATCAAAGGTGACAAAGACAAACTGAAAGCCCGCGACAAGTATCTTGTGATCGGCATCGATAAAGACCTTTTCTGTCAGCTCCGCAAGTTTACCAGTTCACAGTTCCGCAGTAAGGTCTACACCATTCCTATGTGTGACTGCTACCCTGTCACCCCAACTGTCCTAGCTCAGACTCCACAAGGACCCATCCGTGGCCAGACCGAATCCACTGCTTCTGACTCTGACGATGATCCTGTTCCCGTCGTCCCTTCACTAAGACCCCCTACAGTGCTTGCTTCTCCACCAGTGGATACCTATACTGTTCCGGTACACCACTCAGTGTCTCCAGCTCATTCTCAGCTACCCGCCCAGGAACACCCCCCAATTCCTGAAGTCATTATGCCTTCTCGGAGTCCTCCACAAGCTCCCCTGGACCCCTCTTTTACTGATGATGCACAGCCGACGCCTGCTGCTGTTATCCCCACTAGGAAATCTGACCGCTCGCGGAAAGCCCCATTTTGGCACAATAAGGACTGGGACTTTGACTAATAACTCTGCCGTGTACTCTCTAGCCGTAACTACGGTCTTTACCATGAACTGCGTATTTTATTAGCTCACTCGTACCTTATCATAAGGGGGAATACACCCCACCGTTACATTCAGTTTCATATTTATTCTAGCTCTTTCATTACTTTTAGCCGTTGTTATCCTATGCGGTTTTAGTCTAGTGCTCGTATCAGTTCAGCCTATTGTTCATGTTTTATTTCTTAGTTAGGGTAGGAAAGAAGGAGGAGGCAATCACGCCACTACGTTGTTATTGCGTTACTTTCAGCGGTATCTAGCGCGCGCATGCGCCCGTCGCTCATCTTTGTAATTCCATGCGGTTCTCGTTCGGTCTTCAGTAAACCTTCGTTAAGACACAGTTTGTTCCTTATTGGCGCTAATTCCTAATACCTAACCCAGGATTCCACATTTCTCAAGCACTGAAAATTTTTTGCATTCGCGAATTTGAATTACCTTACTGGTGTCGAAAACAATCGCCGGAATTTTGGATGACCAGAAATAGCCAGACTTCTGGCTAAAAACGTAGCGAGAACAGTAAAAATGTACTTCAGCTTACGGACGACAACTGGTATTTGAAGAGTATCTGCTAGACTGAACATCCGTTTTGTATACTACGAGGTCATTATTTTTTTTAAGTATCAATTATTTTCAATGAATAGTATAACAATTATTGGATTCAGCTTTTCTAGCTGAGGAATTATGCAGATCTCAGAATATTATAAAACCGTAACATTATAATTTTATGCTTCTTGTCGATTTTAGTTCCACTTACAATCTCTCATGTCCGATTCACGAGCACCTGCGTTTTGCAGTGCATTGACCACTTCGCATTTGGTCTTCGTGTTTGATGCATAAGCAATTCCCCAAAAGGCCAAAAGCACAACAGCAAAAACCTGCAGTCCTGCCATCTCGATTTGATACGCACGGCGTCAGAGAAGACAAGGTCTAAAAGGCAAGAAATCAATGACATGATAAGACATTTTTAATAAAACCAGTTAAAGGGGGCAGTTTGGTTGTTTTTTTGTTTTTTTTTTTGGGAGAAATGATGTTGATTTGGGAGGAAATAAATAAGGGTAGAAAAGGTACACATAAACCAGTTAGTCCGCTTATGGGATCAGAGGCACATTGTGGTGGTGTTGGACCATCTGGTATTTCTGTACTTATTATTCACTTCTTAGTTTAATTTTTAACAACCCCCAAGTCCAATATTTTCCATTTTTTCCAAGGTTTTAAACACCCCCTATTTTATTATTATTTTCTTTTTTACATTACAATCATTCGAAAAATCATCCAAAAATTCTCAAAACAATTATTCAATTATTAACTCCAACTTAGTTGAGTCGTTCTTTTTATGGTTGAATGAAATCTTGGCAGCCAATGATGTCCTTACTAGTAAGTCCATCATAAACAAGATTCTTGAATTAACTCGTTTTTAGCCTAGTATAGGTGGTTTGAACAAGAACGACGAAAAAGGCAACATATCATAAGCCGCCACCTGAAAAGCAGTATGTTTTAAGAGAAAAACAAGAACACTGCACGTGCGTCACACTTTTTTGGCACATTTCGTTGCCCTCACTTCACTCCTACGGTGAAATTTCCCTTTTCACGTTTTATGAACAGGACGTAAATACACAATTTTCACCCTGTTAGTTCATTCTCAACTTGGATGTGGGCCCTAAAACTTCTGTTGAAGAAAAATGCAGAGCGACATCGATTTGACAACTTGAGGAACGATCAGACGTCGATGATAACAAGAGCAGGAACAACAGCAATATTTTTATTTGTACATGTAGAAAAACAAGGCAATGATCTTTTTTACAGATTGGTAGAATGGAAGAAGGACTGTAATACGCGTCCGCTCCGCGTTAAGCAATCACGTTCCGCGTGTCGATGAAGGCGTGAAGAGCCCAAATTCTCCTCGTAATGATCGTAATGATCGCTCAGGTAAGGTAGTTATAGCTCCTTATAAGAAAATTAAACTCACAACTCTGACAGGGGGCTGAATGGGGCTTAGTGTTTAGTGTTATTTGCCCATAATTTTTAATGTTTGCTGTTAAATTGGCCAATTTTTTAATGTTTACTGTTTAAAATGGCCGAAAACTCTTTGATATACTAAACAAAATAATATTATGCCTTTTTGGAACCGTTTTTGCTTCTTTCTGTTAGTGTTAAAACGCCTAAAATTTAACTGCTTCATGTTACAAAGTCAGAAGTGTTATCGAGGTACCCCCATTCAGACCCTCCTGTCAACAGTCTTGGGCAGTAGTATAACGCAGCCCTCTAGAACCTCTAATTTCATTGAATCTTATATAGCGCGCAGCTCTATTGTGTTAAGGCTGGCGGAGGCCATTGTTACTGTTGTTTGTCTTCTCAGCCAATCCTGTGAGGCCTTGTAAGAGCTACGCACCGCTGCAGTCTCAGTACATGGAAGTAATTGGAAGCGTTTACCACCTGCACGGAAAGGTTTACGTCATTTGTGGAAAAATTTCCACGTGCAGAAATCAAAAATCGCTCAAATGGTTCGTGGTCAGGTCTTTAAGCACGGGAAAAGGCAGTCCAGTGATAGATTTGGTGAGAAGGTGGCGCGAGATTTTTCAACCCAATCACAAATCACAGCAACCCAAGCGCTAAACTTGCAGTCCCATACACGCAAATTTGTCTTTCAAACAGTTTTCAAGAAGAGAAAGAAAACACAAATTTTACCGTTGAACACAAGTCTGATTTATGGCATAAAGTAATTTTCAGCTTATGTTTCTAATAGTCTATCGGATTTTGTTTAAAAAACTAAACTTTTTAACTTTAAATATAATGCTTTACTTTCATCTTTAGCCGATTTTAAGTACGATAGCTGGCGATCATTAACGCTCAGCAGCAAGGTTGACATTATTAGATTAAATGGAAATGCTCTACTCATAGTAAAGAACTTGTTTTAGTGACTTTAAGGGGGGGCCCGAACCTATTTATATGCACCTTGGTTATGTTTTTGAATCGCGTTTTTCGGCAGGAATGATTAAACCGATTTCTATGATTGTTGGTATCCTTAGTAAAGAACAGTCGAACTTTGAGGAAATGTTATTTATTCTCTTGTAGGTGTAAAAATGTTGAGATATTGGCATATGTTTAAAACCGCATTTTTACAAAAAATGTCAATTATTTCGAAACCGGACGACAAAATTTTCTCTTCAGCAAATAAGCCTCAGAGCTCTCTAGTCTTATATCTACATGTTTGAAATCAATCGTGACCCTAGAAGTCGCTGCACAAATAGCTGGTCAAATTTAACCTTAAAATGCAAGGATAACACATTTGTGAAAGCTGACGCACAAATAGAAGAAAACTGCCGCCGGAATATGCATGTCTTATCTGCAAGGGTATTCTTCCCCAAAGCTTCAGCTGCAAGAAACTGAGTAATCAGAAACCTACGGCTAATACAGTTCCGCAATACAAGAGGAACAACATTATCCTGAATGCGGGGCAAGGTTAAAGAACGTCCATTCATCAAACTTACTTTCTATTTGTCCCTCTCGACTTTTCGAAACCTATCTTAACAAGGCCAAATATAGCATCTACGAAAAACTCTCAGGAGTTTTTAGCGTCGCAGGTTTCAGTTTTGAGGAGAAATAAAGCCAATAAGTCCAGTACTTCTAACCGTCCATTTTTCAGCTGCACTGACGAAAGCCCTAATGTACTTTGGTAACTTACCCAAGGTTTTTAGACTTGACATCACATTCGCACGAAACGTTGTTTGCCACTTGGGGATAAAGATGAAGAAAATTTGACAATCGTCCCATTCTTGTCATTCTCTCCAGTGGCAAACTGCCCGTGCGAATGTGATGGCAAATCAAACATGCCTGAATAGATTAACTAATACAAGAGTTTTCGTTGCAGCTGAAAATGGATCGGTTGATGTACTGGAGCGGGTGACTTTATTTCTCCTCAAGAAGGGAACCTTCGGTGCTAACAACTGGTAGGAGATTTCCGTAGATGTTATATCTTGCTTTGTTGAGAGTTTTTCGAAAAGAGATGGGGAAGATGTTGACAAATACTTGCACCGCATTCAGCTAAAGTTGTTCTTCTTGTACTGCAAATTGCATTTGCCGTAGCTTTCTGATTACTCACTTCCTTGCAACTGAAGCTTTGGGCAAGAATACCCGATTTTAGATAACAATGAGATATTCCGTCGGCAGTTTTCCTCTATTGGTGCGTCAACTTTCACAAATGTGTCAGCGTACGATTGCATTTTAAGGTTAAGTTTGACCAGCTATTTGACTGCGCAGCGAGTTCTACGGTCACGACTGACTTCAAACTCGCTAAAATAAAACTAGTCGAAGGCTCTGAGGCTTACTTGCTAAAGCTAGAGAAAAATCCATCTTAGGGTTTCGAAGTTAGTGACGTTTTTTTGTAAAAATACATTTTGAAACATATGCCGATATCTCAAACAAGGAGATAAATAACATGTTCTTAAAGTTCGACCACTTTATTAAGGATGCCAAAAATCATAGAGATCGGTTAAATCTTACCTGCCGAAAGAAGCGATTCAAAAACATAACCAACGCGCATATAAATAGGTTCGGGCCCGGCCTTAAACCAGAACGAACTCATGCTCTCCTCCATAAAGAAATGCCTTTTTGTGCCTAAAAACCTGTAGTCCGTGACCAAATACGGAAATGGAGGGAACTGTTGCGTAAGAAATCAGGATCAACTGCTTCAATTGGTTTCAAGAAGAGAAAGAAACTAAAAAAGAAGTTACGTTTTTCAAAGATTATCTTACCTCTTCGAAGATGTTCAGTTAGTGCTCAGCAAACTAACAAGTTAAATTGGGCAGTTTTTTTAGCTTCATTTATGTCCATGAATATGCATGCGTATAAATATCAATATAGTTCTGGATGTTTCAGTATAGATATTCCTATAACTACACATAGGTTTACAATACGGGTTAATTACCTTTTATTTTTAGCTATAGTAAAAGAGATTTAAATTGCCCCCCTTCAATATTTCTTCTGGAAAGCTTAATGTGCAAAGTATTTACAAAAACTATATACATTACAAATAAAGTCTTCGAGAAGAACATTAAGGGACAGGCAAACAAATATCTTTAACTAAAGCTCAACATAAACGGTATCTATATTAACCCACATCGTATACCGCTCAAAAAAAGATAGACAAAAAGTGTATAGTTTTCATGGTTTTTCTTGAAAATGGCTACGTAACTGCATGCATACAGTATAGCTTCTCGACACTGAATCGATAGATGACAGAGAATATTGGACGACAGTATTAATAAACATCAAACAAGGACCTTAGGACAAATGCATGGTTAAATTTCTGAGAAAGTTGTTCCAGTTTCTTGGTTTGACTCAAGATTAGGACAGCCATCTTTGTCGTAAATATATATAATCAGGGGCACTGAACAACGAAAACATGCAGCTTTATTTGCACGATGATAAATTTATACAGTATTGCCAGGAGCCCATATGAGCTCCTGGTATTGCAAAAGTATAAAATTAACAAAGGAAAAAAGAAGGAAACAAAAAACATATGCAGTATTGGTTTTCAGTTGTATACCAATGCTGCTGATCATGAGACGGATTTCGTGGTTTGACGCCCGAGGCAGGTTTCATTGCGAACTGTACTTTACGTCACCATTAAAAAAATTCTGATTTTAGAAAATGTCCTCGGGATTAAAAGGTCTGTGGGGTCTTTCGAGAAAACGGGTCTTTGACCAGCTGGAGTTAGATATGGTCAAAAGGCAGGCAGACAAGGCGTTTCAAGGTGGATGTTTACAGGGGTTTCAAATGGTGTAATAATGAGACTCGCGATCTGAAAGGTAATATATCATTAATATTAGGAGATAAAGTTAAACCGCAAGATTTAAAGTGATATGTGCCTATATTGCTTTTCAGATATGCTATGGAAAAGGCGCAAATCTGCTGTAGCTATAAATAATTAAGAAGTCTAATCTAACAACCTAATTCGTCAAGGGAACAGCTTAGAATAGGTCCATCACAGTGACTGAGTTGAGTCTTATATTTGGCCATAGAATAGCTAGACTATAATGGGGTAGGGGTTCTGAGAGGCCAGCTGCCATACTCATTAAAAATTAACCCAAATAACCCCCCACCAGGTACAACAGGTCCAATTTCCAAGTGTGACGGAGCAATAATAATAGTACAGGTACCCATGAGCAACATGAGCGTAGAAAAGCACTGATCAGTGACTGATTGCCTTTCGCACCAAAGAGCGGGTCGGTCTGTGTGCGAAAGGAACATAGTAAAAAAAGGTCGGCGGGTCATTCGTCATTCTCTGGTTAATAACCATAATCAGCCTCTTTGGTGAAAACTACTTGAGTGTAATCTGTTCTGCATTTTCCTTTGTACTTGAAAATGTTTGCGTTTTGGTCTTCGAGAATTAATTAGAGTGGAAAAAGGGAAGAAGGCAACTTTTTTGAACCTGGGTCGTACCCAGCACTTACAGTTACCTTTAAAAATTTATTAACAGTCTTCTAGAGTCATTTCACTTCCATGTAGGATAACGTTTGTGGCTTTATTTCACCCAGATACAATATTTTGGCTTTTGTATGGCAAATTATAACTATCAAGCCCTTAAAATTAAAGTTAGAATGGAATAGCCCGCATGCATACATCATCGGGTTCATCCTTCATGGCTATCAATTGCCACGTCATTGTTTAAAAGCGTTAGCTCATCTTGTGGGTGAGGAGGGAGGGGGGGTCCAGATTTTGAGTGACGGGAATGATCGAGGGTGAATTTTGGGGGTTTGAAATTTTAGTACCTTCCTTTAATCCCGGCCGCATAGTTCAACTAATAAAATACAACCAAACTTGTTTATGCTTGTTTAAAAAATCAACACACTACATTGTATCTCGCAATTGAATGAATATTCCATAAAATAGGTCATGCTTCATTTTATTTTGCAGTGTTTCGGGGTGTATCCATCAACAGGGCTTCATTACATTTGGCCGTTGATTTCTTATCCATCGTAGTGATCACTGTGCAACAGCTTTCACCGTCACAAGAATTCCCTTTTGCTATAGTGAATTCTTAGGTTCGAAAATTCGGAATAGATTGTTTGGTTATTTTTTTGTCCAGGAATTTTTTTTTTAGTTTTGTTGAAAGCTCTGGGAATTTTTTTCCGATCTTTGCTTTGATCATCCCTTTCACTTGGAATCCGGAATATCCCCCCCCCGGGACGCTTAATACATGAACTGAGAGCCTTGAGTAAGAAATAATAATAATAATAATAATAATAATAAATAATAATTTTATTTATATAGCGCTAAAATCCAATAATTGTCCAAAGCGCTACCTAATTACAAAAAAAAATATATATATATATATATATAAAAAATATAAAATATAAAATATCTACAATATACAATATAATTCAAATATAGCCTAAGTTATCTACTATATAAATCAAAAACATCTCAAAACAAAAGGAATCTCATAACCTATATGCTAACTTAAATAAAAAAAATTTTAAGGGATTGCTTAAAAGTTGCCACTGAAGCACATTTCCTAATCTCTAGAGGTAAATCGTTCCACAATTTAGGTCCTGCAATAGAGAAAGCTCTGTCTCCATATGTTTTCAATCTGCTTCTTGGAACCACTAAGTATTCTTTACATGAAGAACGAAATGCTCTGATTTCCTGTCAATTTCCTGGAATCAAGCAGTGTCGAAAGTTATATTCAGAATAAGCGTTTAGGTTTCGACCTTTGCAGTGCTTAATCCAGCCATACCTATGAAGGTAAAAAAAAAAAGAAAAGAAAACACGAAAATTAAAGTTAACACGCTTGTCAAGCTCTACAACAGTTCGGCTATTTAGTGTGGGTCGGGGTGGAATTCCCAACCCCAGCTTCTCCTTCTCAAGTACGCCGCAGACTACAAACCCGGGGGGGTACTCCTGGGAATTCTTGGTGGGGGTGTGCCGCCCGGTTCTCCAAATCCCCTATTTCAGACCAAAAAATGTCATTTTTCACACTCGTTTTCAGACCAGATGGCCTTTAGGCAGAAATTATGTCATCATTGCTTAGATTAGAGAGCAAACGAAAAAAGATTCTTCAAAGATTTTTAATTCGCATATTTCTCTTTCTTTCTTACTCCTTTGGAATTGAAACGATAAATACGTTCATACACTCCCATAGTTCCTTCCAAAACAATACTCGATTCCAGACAAAATTGGGCGAAGTTTACACCCATTTTCAGGCCAAAAAGGCCTAAAAACCATACCCTTTGGGGCCAGTGACAGACCTATATAGATTATATAAGGGCGTACTCCCCAGGATTTCAAAATCCTGTCATAAACAACACTTTCATTTCAAGAAATCTAAAATGAAATCTAGCACAGTTTGATAGCGTTAACTGAGGCTCTCAAAAAGGGTTCATCCTCTCTTGGTTTAAGAATAGTTGAGAATTAATCTTCAGATGCGAAGCTGAGTTTTTTTCTAGCCCTAGCAGAATTGCTGCCTTTCTATAAAGGCTTGAAAAACTACAGTTCTTAGGCAAATGTCGCAATGATGTTGCAAAGTCCTAATTGCTGCTAGTCCTGAGTGTGTAATATCGTTATCAGGTTATCTGTCAAATTTGCCAACTTTACTCATTTTATAATTAGGCGCTTTTTTTACAGGGCTTGGAATGTTTTAAGCGCCGGTGATAGATTATCAGGCTATAACTGGTCCTTTTCAAAAGCTGAAAAAACACTATGTATTTGGAAGGGTCCATTGAATGTCGACCAATTATACAACCTACCACTTGTTGAAGCTGTTGCATCTCTTAATTTTGACAGCACAGTCTGTATCCCACGTGATTTCTGAGTTGATAAAGTCTGCAAGTAACATTTCTTCACATCACGACTAGCCTGAGAAAACATCCGACAATGGTGGCGCGAAATGTCGGTTACCGTGGGTAACCTTCCCCACATAATTAAGTCTTCTTTTGGTGTCCCCGTGTGTCCGTCTATGTTTCTATTAATCTTACTGATATTTTCATGCTTTATATTTATATATTTATTTTGTTTTGTATACTTTTGTATCAAGTTAGTTTATGATATTTATGTGTACCAATGTATCTATTGTGCCTCTTTCCTGACTTTCACATTTTCAATTACTATAATTACGGTCACCCAACTAGTTTGGCTTTTTAGTTTTTTTGAGTGCCTCACTACTGTATGACTGTATTGCTTATTGCCATAATCCCGCACAATGTAGGCAAAAACTGAAACTCTGCGTAACCCTCTAAAATTTGCATTTTTGACCATATTTGGGTGTACGTAAGACCCCATATTTGGGCAGTGACGTCAGGACCTTGTATTTACAATAACTCGTGGTTCGAAATTGGGTGATCCCTGTACAGCTGTTCGTTTTCTGTTCAAGAGGCCTTAACAGGTAAGCAATTTATATATTGAGTTTAAAGCAGCAGCTGATCAAGGAATGGGGTCTTACGGTACAATTTTTGTCAGAACCAGCTTGTTGTTCGCAGCTCGATTTACATTGAGGTAGCGTGTTCGCTTTACAATTCAAAACCAAGGTTTTCAATGTTATCTTTTCCTTTGTAAATTAATGAAATTTATGCGGTAGCTAATCAAGGAATTGGTTGTATTCTCAAAACGTTGATCAGAACCAGCGTGATCTTCGCAGTTCGATTTACATTGAGCCGGTCCTCACCTCTTGTGAGGAATGCGAATGGAATGCTTTAAGGACCTTTTGTTTTTTAGAAGTTATTTTTACCCGCTTGGAGAGATTTTTGTCAACCAGCGTATCCTTTTGCAGCTGGATTTACATTGAAGACAGCCCTAGACTCCCTTGGGGAATGCAACGAATTTGCGGACCATCATCATGAATCATTTTGTCTTTCGATAGACTCTTTGTCCTGTGCCAAGCGCTCATTAGATCTTTGTATTTTATTCAAGTTTATATATAATTTTTATACCTCCGATACATTCCGCCCAGTATTGTGCTTGTGACACATTTTGCTTACACCAATTTCTTCATATGCATATTATAATTACCATGAGAATATTTTTTTTCTTATGGTGTTGATTTCAATTTTTAATTTTTGAAGTCAAACACCTCACTTGAACTATATTTTACTTTCTAAAGTTTATAGTCTTGAATTTCCATAAAATGTAAGTGCTAACTTGCTCCAATTTACCAACAAAACTTCTCACGACTCATAATAATTATTCATAAAGAAAATACAAGGGAAATTAATAGATAATTGATGGATATCAGATGAAAAACTGCTAATTTTTTATTTCTCCTTCGAAAATCATTTTGTTTGAGAAGTACTATCAAGCATTTGACACAGTGTTTCATCACCAGATAAAACACCTAGAAGTTCGTCAAAAATACTCCGCTTGGCGTCGTATTTTCAATCTTCTCGGTGTTTCATCTGGTGATGAAACACTGCGTCTCATGCTTGATATATTACTTCAAGACATGTTGTTATTTTTTTTGTAGAAGTGAAACTGGCCTAGAATGTACAGCAGTTTTTTTTCTAAAGTCGAGCGCCATCCTTTTCTATAGCGAAATCCTTTGTAAACCTCTAGAATTATGTAACAAATCGCGAAGATCTGGATAGGCACATTCCACAGATAAACGAGTTCACGTCGTTGGTATTTGCCGGAAGGTACCCCTAGTGTATAGTTATTTTTTTGCAAATTATTTTAGTTGTCTGTTTACCGTGTAGAAATAAACTGTTGTTGCATGTTAGATTAAATTTGTCCCCAAAAGGTAGGGGGCGGAGTGGGGGCTATACCTGGACCTCCTACTCAAATGGCACTATAGAGTAAAGGCCTGATTATTTTGTCTTGACTGATTAAAAACTGAAACAAAAGTCGCATTAAAGGAGCTGTGTCACGAAATTCAGCCAAATTAGGAAATTACAAAATGCCCGTTAAATTAAGGGAAACATAAAAAGAACCGCTTAAAACTTTAAAGGAAGGTTAAAATAACATAACAGAAACAAGAGATGCCACGGATGGGCAAAACTGAAGAAGACTGAAACGGATTGAAATTAGGGTTTTTGAAAACTGTTCAGCCTAACAGTCAGTGCTCAGGAGACATATTTGTTAGTCTCGGATCTCTGATTTTGTCATTTACATGTAATTTCTTTGCTTTCTTTGCTCATAGCGACTGAGGGCGACTAATTGGCAAAATTAAACAAAATGAACTGGACTGCCGTGACACAGCCCCTTTAACCAGTGAAGTTAGGATGATCTAATAAGCTATATTGACTTTTACCACGACATCTGTAACCACAACCAAAGGAATTTATCTGCCAACATCTAGTGTATCGGCTGTTTCCCCGATCACACCAGTATCTGTTGTTCAGTTGATATATCCCATAATCCTTTGATCCGTCGCTGTTCGTATTGACAGCATCATCTCGGAAGTTACTCTCGTGTTTTACCAAACAAAGCCCTAAGGACGAAAAAAGTACGAGGCTAATAAGTAGCGGAACTTATAATTATGAAATAGTTGTGGCCTGAACTGAAGAAGCGCACACGGAAACGCACGGTTCAACATCGCGCATGCTAACTAAAGCAAAAAATATTAATCTGTTAAATGACATTTATATTAGTAGGAACATTCTTTCCATATTGCTGCAGCAAGATAAGATATGATATTTATAACGGCTTTCCCTTAAAAATTAGTCCCAGATGACGCCCCTTTTTATTTGAGATTTTTTAAAAAAACTCTACTCACAATCTCTGATTTCCGAGTCACCTACATTCGCAGCTTTCAGCGACCTGACCACATCACATTTCGTCTTCGTTCCTGCCCGCGCCATTCCACCCAAAGCCAACGTTCCCAGCACAAAAATATAGATCCTCAGAGTCGTCATCTAGCTATAGTTCGATATGGTATTCGAGAAATTTAATACTCTAAACAGCAAAAGATGAAATAGTTTAAGGCATATTAAGAAAGATCCGGCTGAAAGGCGCTGTTTTCCACCAGGCAGCTAGCAATGACAAATTGCTGCCAATTTAATACTACTTAACGAAAAACCGAAATTGCCCGATCCCAAACAAATATAATACAGGCACAGACCTCTCAAAAGACGTTCTCAATTTTCCGCAACTTAATTGTTTTGTTTTGTTTCGTTTTGTTATTGCTGGTTTTTTTCAAAAATGTAAATTTACTTTGAGTTATCAGGACCAGACTGAACTAGACTGAAACATTTCTTACTCCTATAAAATTTGCTTCCCGGAAGTTAAAAGTTTTCAAGTGATGGGTTGATAGTTTGCATGGTGAAAACGGCTATTTGGAAGCGAGAACTTATTGAAATACTTTACCTTACAAATCGGAAGAACTCGAAAGTAACTTAAGTCTTTCTCAGATGTGTTGCTGTAGAGTCCTTGGTCGAGTGAAATGTCTTCGCTTACGAACGTGCCTTTTATTTCAGCATAGTGGGCGTGGCTAAAGAAATACTGTACACATATGAAACGGGCCTGGAAGCACGTTTTTGTTATCAATTTCAAAGGCCTCAGCCTCAGCAATATCAAAAAAAAATATTGATTAAGGCCATAATAAAATCTTAAAGAAACAAGAAGCACGAATGATTTGGCCATATATTTTGTTGGCCTCCCGAAACCAAACAACCTTTTAAAACTTAGAAAATTTAATTATTGTAGTATTCGAACCAAACTCGTTTGAGGGACTATATTATCCCATCTATTATTCGAGGCTGGTCTTCGTTACTCCTGACTGCCTGCTTGGAAAACGCCTTTTGTATTAAGTGCTCATCAACTGCTGAGGATGATGTGGGTTCGAGGAGGGTTTTACTATAACACTTCAGTGTTCGATGCACGACTTTAAAATAGACGTTTAAAGTACGCATGATACTGGATCATGATAGTAACTCATATGTCCTCAGCTCTATTCTGCGTTTCTTCAAAATAGACGAAAACATAGGCTTCTCCTTAAATCGCAGTATAATGCTTAGTATCGAATTCTTTAATTGAAAATGCAGTTGTACATAATCAAGAGTTTGGACTCAAATTTTTTAAAGAGATACAAATCTTTGATTCATAGCTCCTCAGCGGTCCTTGAAATACTGTTTAGAGATGTTCAGTTTGTGTATTTTTAGATTGAAATTGTGCTTACCAGCACGCAAACCTTCCCTTCTTGGACAAAAAATAATGAAAATAAAAAATCCTCTTTCATGTGATACAAGCTTGCCCCTTTTATGGTGTTTATTAGGGAGTACATGAACAATATTTGCATTTCATTAATTCAGTTATCTGAATAAAAATATAGTTAGACATACTTGTTCTAAGTTGAAACGTGATTTTTTTATAAGAATATTACAGCTACGAGATTTTTAGAATGCGCTTAGGGTATTCCTATAAAGCTGAGATTTGTTAACAAAATTTTTTGCCTGTTCGTTGACGGAAAATAAATTAAAATACAATAAAGCAACAACGTAAATGCTATTTGAGTTTTATAAGGGGCACAGTTCCCCCCCCGCCTCTCCCCTCCCCGGCCCTAACAAGGCCCAGGAAGAAAGCAAAAAGCAAAAATTGGCTTAAGCGCTAAACAAACTTACACTTCGGTAATACGGGCAACCAAGCCTTGGAAACTGTTTTTAATTATAACAGTGCTGCACAACAAGTTGACGAGCGCTGTTTTACCACACTTTCAAACCTTTAAACAAACTTATATAGCATTTTCAATAACACCATATTTTCAAGACTGCAGTTTCACGGTGACTACAGTAATAATCATTGTTTTGGTCAAAAACATTCTAAATAGACTATTAACCGTTATTATATTAAATCCTCCCTTAAAGAAGCAAGTCAAATACGGAGAACTGAAGTCACTCTTAATCAAAGTGCAAAGCTGGATACCGTATGACTGACTCAGTTCGGTTCACAGTTAGATAAGAGTAAAGTTAACTAAATTAAATATTAATATCTTTTATTTGTTCTCAATTACTTTTCAGCTCGCGCTATGGAGGAACGGAGTGTCTCTTACTTTAAACTGACCTACTTCTTAGGCAATGTGACTTGTTTAGTGTAAATAATCAGTTGATGCCAATATACACGTAGGCGTATTCTTTGCAGAACCTGAATAAACAGTTGATTTGTTGGTTAAACATTAAGACGTGATATGTAGCATTCACGCCGTAGAATACGTACTAGTTTGAATACCAAAAGGTTAGAGACTTAAAGTTCATAATTAACTGCGTAGAATACAGTCAGCTAAAAAGTCTTTTTAATTAGTCATATTGCATGCATTTTTGAATTTCGTTTAAAAAAGTGCATGTTACATGTTCATTCTATATCCAGTGCCATGCATTTTCCGGTAGATCACTTACATCAATGGCATCCCAGGGGGTGGTACTTCCTTACAAGAGGCTAATAGGGATGTTCCGCTGGATGGGGTCGCTCTTTCACGACTGGATTGACTATAATGGAGTCGCATTTTCAATAGATTTACTTGAATGGGGTCGCAAATTTTCGGATTTTGGGGGTAAAAAGGGATTTAAAATGGGAAGATTCTCGAGCTCGCATTGACCGCATTACATTCCGCCGCTTGACACCACATTGATAAGGTAGGTACATAAATAGAAAGTGACTAAGTTGTGATCACGAAAATTACATTTTCCAAAAAGTGACTAAGATGGGGTCTATAATAGGCCAAAAAATAGACTATAATGGGTTAGGGGGCTCTGAGAGGCCAGCGGCACATACCCAGGAAACATTAACCCAAGAACCCCCGCCCCCCCGCCCGGCCGGGAATGGCATGTAACATCGTAATGATATACTTTGGGTAAATCGGGAAAATATTACTCGTTTAAACATGTATGTCACAGTGAGTTTAGTAACAAACCATTATAATTGTAAATAATATATTAGCTGTACTATTAACGCAACTAATAAAACTGCGAAGAAAGAGCACTGCTTTATCACAACAACAAAAAAGTAAAAAAACAACAAAAACAAAAGTGGACAATTCCATGTTTTTTCCAGGCGGTGAAAATGAGTTGTATTAGTTTCCCCCTAAACCATTGTGTAAACGTAAGTAAACTTAAAACGACGGCTAAGTGACTCTTTCCTTAAAAATTCTATACCAAAACGCAGGTAAAAAAAAACGAAAACGTCTTTTCCTTTACTGTAAAAGACACTTTCGTCCGAAAGCATATTCAAGGACGCAGGAACTGAAAGATCATATCAGGAGAAAAGAAACCAGACTTCACGATCTGCTTTCCAGATATGGTATGAAAAAAGGCGCAAATCTGCTGTAGCGATAATTAACACTAACAAGTCTAATCTATGAACCTCATCCGTCAAGCGAATAGCTTAGAATAGGCCCATCGTTGAAGAGGCAAGTAAAATTATAAAATTTCACCGAAAAGTCAAATACGTAAGGGGAGAAAACTTTCGCACCATCACGAGTAAAACCACAAGTTTAACGAGAAGACAGGTCTGCAATGTCTGGTGAGATCATGATCTTTGTTGCCTAGAAAAATGGGCAGCACGAACGGTTGAAAATTAATTACCACGGAGCTTACGCAAAGACATTTTTGAGTGACACTTTACAACCGGAAGTAAGGCCTTTCCTTTTTTAATTTGCCTTAACGCCACCAAAACTGTATTAATTTGCTAGTGTCTGTACTCTTATTGAAACGGTTTGCCCAAAACAATTTGGACAAAACCACAACCCAAGAATGCAAAACGTCCACTCCCGGTTGAAGTGCGTCGCTCAAAAAGTTTCTCAATCTTAAGCTCCCTACTCTTTCTTGTTGTTTGGCCATCCAGTTTAGTGCCAGTAAAGAGAGCTTCAGACTGGAATATAGCTATCAGTACATGGCGAGATTTAATATACGAGTTAGACTTTCCAAATATATATCTGTTTTAAAATGATTTTAGCAATAACGACAAAAATGTAATGGCAAGGGAGTTCTCAGCCTTTTTCCTGATTACGTTGAAGTTGAAAAGTGAAAAAGCACTCTCGGGCTCAATTGAGGCTTAAGGAGTCATTTTGTAATTTAAAAAAAATGGAAAGAGGGATAATAGTTGCCTATTAATCATCTCGAGAATGAGTCTGGATTACAAGTGGAACAGATGTTTAATCGTAGACCAGTGATTAACTTTAGACTCCGGCGATTAGTAATCGGCTCCTGAATCATTCAGGATAGATTAGTCAGTAAAATGATGCTCTATCATTAAGACTAAGAATGTTCCGTAGCATTCTTTTGGTTTTACATTATCTTCTCCCACCCCATTTGTTCTGTTCTGATCTGTTCTAGTGTCCTTCACAGCCGTTATTAGGGTCACCCCGCAACACTCCTCCCGACTGAGCGTTGCGGGACGACCCCTGTGACAGCCGCGAAGGAGAACAGATCAGTGTTCATTCGCCACACTGAAATATATGAAGGTCAAGCTTTTGCAAGAAACAAACTCCGAACTCGTGCCGTCTTAAAGTTTGCGCCTTTTCTTTAGCGTGGGACAACGATAGACTCAGGAGATACTTTGACGGTTACATAACCTGAGAGCAGGTCCAATTTTAGCGGTTCTCATACATTCTCTCTAACGGCTATCGCTAAAAGTTCGCCTTGCCCGCCGGAGTGTCATTTACAAAGCGAAACGAAAATTGAGCCTGATCTCAACCATTTTACTGTACGTAAAAATTTGTAAGTTGAACTTACAAATTTTTACCCGGCGAAAAAATCTAGTGGTAAACGAAAGTCCACAGAAGTTTTTTTTTTTTTTTTTGAAGAGGCTGTCAGATTACACAGCAAATAACTTACAAACTTCTCAGGCAAGTTAAGGCATGGGTTGAAAGGCTAAAAAGACCCCCCACAGACGTAGAAGGATCCAAATACTAGGGTCCCACAAAGATATAATAAGATATATCTCACTAAAATAATTTTGGAAAATTCATCATCAAGCATCACGTGACATTCCTTGGACCATGACGTCACAAAACCTGTTTTCTCAAACGGAGCAAGGTTGTTAAACTTCAGCCTAAAAATACTTGTCATCAAATTGTCAGCGAAACTGTCTGGATTGTCAATTAGCCTTGCAAGGTAAATTAATTATTAAGAATTATTTAAGTCTTTTATAAGTCACGTAACCTGATTCTCTTTATTTCGTAATCCTTGCTCCACTTAGGCATACATACAAGGCTATTTCATAATATCCAGGCGTTGGGAAAAACACTGGCGCCTAAGAATTTTTGCTGCTCTTTCATTTCCTTTCCCCCATTTTAATTTGAACACTGAACGTTAACGATCATTTACAGGTCACGTGACAAATATTTCAACAATGAATATGTTACATATTGTTAAGGCCACCGAGCTAAAACTGTCTGCCAAGTTTCATGACGGCTGATCAAAACAATCCGTTTCAAATGCCACTTCGGAACATCGATGGAGGTAAGCATGTTTTAGCTTTGTATTTTAACTAGGGATTATTTTGAATGAATAATAAAACAATTATTGAATTCGGCTTTCGTATCATATGAAGAATTATGGAGATCTCGGAGCTCGGCCTATGGCCTCGAAGGATAACACCCTCCTCGATCTTCATAGTTCTTCATAAGATACTCAGCATCATTCATTAATTGTTAAATTAAACTTAAAGGCAATGAATTAAAAATCAAGGCACCTAAAAGATAAAAAGTACGGCGCGCAAAATCCAGTTTGACCTTGGGCACTTTAGCTGCTTTCCCATTGTTTCTAGTGTTTAAAGCATTATGATGAAATCGTTGAAAATAGCTCCTAAATGGAAAACATGCAGTTCCTCCTTTAAGGCGGTCAAATACAAATCATGAGGTTACAAATATACAAGGTCAACAGTTTGGACTTAAACTTTCAAATAGATACAAAGCTCTGTTTCGACTCCTCAGAGACCCCTAAAGTACAATAAGAATTAAAAAAAAATTCAATCTGTCCTGCCTTGAGTTCCGCGAACAGAGGTCTTTTTTGCATGAGCATGCGCGACCGCTGAACAAGCGATGTGCATGGAGGCTCACCACAGGGTTTGCCTTCATCAAAATGGCGCGTCTCAAAGCTATCATAGCGATAATTTTGCTCGTTGGTCTTGGCGAATGTGCTCGTGATTTAACAAAATGTGTAGTTTGCAAAAAAAACTCTAACATGGTCTTAACAAAAGCGAAGTAGACCGGCTTTAACATACACGAGCTACTGTCAAATTTCATCTCCCCACTTGACCTGGACAACAGCGCGCGTATATGTAGTGCCTGGAGGATTGCGCTGACCTCATCAAAGTATAAACAAAGTGCAGAAACGTTTGTTAATGCAAGTAAATACTTTCAATTTTCTTTGTTTTGAAATGGGAAAGGAAGAGAATTATTAAAAAAAAAACATAGCAAATTTCAGCGAGTGGGTTCGAAGTGCGCGAAAGCCGATGTTCAGTTCAGCAGTGAATTAATATATGTTCTACAATTTTCCCAGTACTTTAAAGCTACAAAATTAAGAGCACACGAGACGTAGATTAGTCACTGGTGAGATGTTGGTGGTAGTCACTCTGTATGTCTCGAACAATGAAAAAAATGAATATCAATGAGACACAGTCAAAACCGCATTCAATAAAACCGAAATTAAAGTCCAATCTTGTGACCGATTTTGATGAAACAAACGGTTAGGTTTCCCAAGACGTACAGTAAACATGTGATGCCGACCAAAAGTTAAAAATCATTAGAACATTTAAGTTCCGCCAAAAGCAAATTCCTGTAAAAGATGCGTTACAATGTTAGTCCACGCAAAAACAAGAAGTTCTACAATTTTCGTATAAACAAACTTTGTATCGCTAAAATACTTAAGGCAAAAACTTTCTATTCCAACTGAAAACGGCGTGGTAGTCGCCCGCTGATCGTCATTAATCCACTCCCTAAATATGGCTAAATCAGCTATTAACAAATTATTGACAGAAATCCTCTACGGCATCGAGAAACTGATTTACATCCGATTTATAGACAAACACTAAATAAAGAACATTTTGCTCAATAGCTACGCATCAGCAATGCATTCTATGCCAAACTTTGCGGTTCTTAAACGGGAATCAAGACACGAGTCGAGCGCCAAACAACAACAAGCAGCCATGTTCGTGTCAGACATCCTTGAGAAACTTGCTCTTTCACCTCGTTCAGCACATCAGTCTCCACTTTAAATCAACAGATCTTTACTTATTTTGTACAACGAAGGTCTTTCCTAAGTTCCTGCTACCATTTCAGTCTCAAGCAAGCTTTCAAAGTGAACAATTTGGTTCCTATGACTATGCAGCACGGTCGCTGTCACTGGTCGCGTGCTCTTTGACAAGTCAGCGGTCGCGCATGCTTATGCAAAAAAGACCCGGTTCCGCGTACCAGCAGCACTCAAAGTATACCTATTTTTATGCTGAAATTGTACCTCTTTCTCGGGAAAAAAAATGTTGAAAACTTGCCTTTGTTGGCATTAATTAGAGAGTACATGAACGATATCTGCCATATCGACAAAAAAAATATCTTTAGATAAACTCTTTCTTATATGAAGCGACGATATTTTAAAGTGTGTTGCGGATATACCTATAAGGTTGAAGAGCATTTTTGTCTGTTGATGGTAAATAAAATACAATAAAACAACGATGTTTTTCATGAAACTTTAATAATTTGATAACGAAAAGTAGGGTGAAAATTCTCCTTTACATACAAAACTATAAAACGTTACAAAAAAAAAACTACGTCTAAAAGGTTGCGATAAAAGAAAACCAAAAAAGTGTTATATGGTGAAGGTCACCCACAGTCTCAAAATCTCAAATTTCAAATTTCAAAACTGAAATCTTTATTTTAACACGGTAAAAAAACATTCATCAGGTTTTTTATTACAATATAAAATACAACTACATGACAATATTTTATTACAATATTTAATAACAATAAATACGTATCTAAAGGACTGAACCTACCCGACAAACTTAATTTTGGGGAATTAACATGTCTCTCGTTTATGGAGAAAGGAAAATAAGACACAGTAACGTTGGGACGAAACGAAACCAAGCTGAATTTAAAAGCTCATTTCATATCCATCCAAGTTCACTCCTCGGAAAAAAAACCGTTGCCGCGCGGCAGCGAATAATGTGGTTTTGAAAGAATGGAAAACTAGCAGGCGAAAACAGTGGCGAATTTTGACCACTTAGCAAGAAGAGTTACTGGAGTCTAAGAAGCGACACGTCTCTGCTGAATTGAAGAAATATTGGAAATTCCAAGCAGTAAAACAGGTTTTGATATTGACCATCTTCGTTTAGAAGTCATTTGGTTTCCAGACCTTTCAATCTTTTCTAAAATCAGTAAAATACTAAATATAAATTTTGCTTAGTGGATAAACACAGGCGGGTGTTCGATGACATTTTTTCCGCTTTGCGGTTTCCTGTGGTTTCCGAAATGTTAGGGATTTTTTACCACGCGGGCGGTAAAAAACCCCTTCATGCCGGGACTTTACCCATTTAAGAGCGGATGACAGTAAATATCGACCAGAGGTCTACAAAAGTGAAAAATCGAAAATTCTCAAAAAAATTCACAAAGTAGCACTAGGTAAGCTATTAACATAAATGTAATTTTTACTTCGATCCGATAATTATTTTCCACGTACGGGGGGGTTATTGGTTTCGCGGCTCTCGGAGCGGGTTCTCCAGGCCCGAGACCATGTGTCACAAAAAAATCGTTTTAAAATTCAAATCCATTGTAATGCGGACAACAAATAACTTATTCAGAAGAGTACATAATTGCACACATTTTAAGTGGTGATTTACTCAGTTTGAATGAATATGTAATATTTTGGAGATTTTTCATTATTTTCAATATTTTGAACGTTTTCGTTCAATGAAAAAATGGCAAATTTCAAAGCCCCAAATCGTCGACTGGTACCTCGATTTCAGTAACCAGTCTTATACCACGTTAAAGAGCGTTATCTCTTCTTTCAAAATCTGTTTTCAAAACTACGGGCAACTGAAAAGAAAATTTTTGAGGTCAAAAAATACAAGTAGTACTTTTCTGAAATTTGAGCTTTTCAGACTCCCCTGAGACTCGGCGGGCCGATGCTAAAAACTCGGAAAAATACAATAAGAAATCAGTTTGAGAAACAGTGGCTTCAAGTTATCAGCTTTCAGAAACCAAGACGTGTTTATACAGCGATCTGATATAAATTAATGCCGTTTGCTATCAAGAAAGGCAGATTTAAGCTGTCAACTCCTGCCAAGTGCACCAGTCACGTGAAGTTGTCAAAGGGAGGGCAAAGCACTAATATTAAAAAGTCTTAAAATTCAAAACGTTTTGCGTCCATGAAAGCAGATTTTAGCGTACAAAACAATGTTGTGAATGTCTGTTGTTCGTACCTTAGCATGGTGTTTCCATATATTGGAAAGGTCAAGTATCCACACAGGAGAACATACCAAACAACAACGTTTTAAATGCAAGCGCCGAAAGATCGTAAACGGCAGAGATTGCGTTACATTTCACAGAACGACCGCTTACCACTGTTGTCACTCCTTTTTTCGCTGGAAGCTACGAGGAGTTTTCATTCCGTCATGAGTGATTCTTGATCAGCGCTTCCTTGAAAGTACGACCCCGGACAGATGATAACTGAGGACGCCTGTTGTTCAGTTTCAGGATTTAGCAGGTGCGTAGTCAGGATTTATTCCGGAGGTACACCCAGCTTTTTCTACATCGTCTCCCCCCCCCTCCCCCCCCCCACCCAAATCTCAACATTTTTTAAGGTGCCTATATTAAAGGTGGGGTTAACGGTTGTAAGCAAAAGCATTTTTGCTGTTTATGAAATGACACAACCTCTAAAATTCTTTAATTCTGTCGGCTTGTTATGTTCATTGACGTCAACCGTTTATCATTAATTCAGCTATTAAAAATCAAGCTTGTAGTACCTCCGACTTTAGTTTACAAATGACTCTTTTTACCCTTTTTTGTCACATTATTTTTGACCGACAAAAACACCACACATTGACGTAATTGTGCCCTACTTCGTCTACTCCGAAGACAGGTCGTGGAGAAAACAACGCGTTCACGCTTTACATCATCAAGCTTGCTATATAAATAAAGCATCCAAGGTTCGGTTCTCGAATTAATGTCCTCGCTTCTCTGGAAACCGATTTTTTTAGTTATGTTTATTTCATCCTATGTTTTCTCCTCAACGTTTTCGGGTACGCACGTGGGAACCGTGCATACAAGTAGCTACGCCCCTGTTTAGTCTCCTTAGCCCTGAGCGTTCCTCTCTTCCGGTTTTCGCAGGAGTTCAGGATGTGGTCTACCCAGTATTTCACGTCTCTATTAAATGACAGGCAGCACTTCTTGTTTACCGTTTCGTTATCAGACAGCGCTTAGACTCTTAGCCTTTCATTTAATTTTGATCAAATTTTTATCATTTAGTTACTCAGTATAGTTTCGATCCTGTCCTTGTAAACTTATACTTTTATACTTCAAGGGACATTAATACCTATATTAATTTTTTCTTTGTTTAGTGTTGTCCAACAGACCCAGTTTTTGGGATTTTTTAAAAAGCAAGAAAAAGAAACGACAAGGTTTATTTTTTTGGACTTAAATTAATTCTTTTAATATAAGAAATGAGCATTATAACAGCATTTCCAGGCATAAAACGTTCGGTGGTGTATCCTTTTTGCTTTTTACCCTTTTTGGGCCTTTTTTTTTTATGAAATTGGCCATCACATTTTCCGCAATATTGAGTTTGTGTCGATTTGGTGACCATGTCTTGTTGTTTTCAGGCTCCATGGCAATGACGCTGGTGTTTCAGGCCTCCTGTTCTCAGATTTCTAGTGATTTTTTTTCACCCCACCGACCGACCCACCCAAGCCAGGAAACCTATTCAACGCTAAACGAACGAAAAGGGGATGACCTAAGCCTTATGGTTTCTTTTTGGGCTTCCCCACCACATTGCTTCTGCGTATTTCTGTATACTTGTCTTTTGCTTTGGTTTGTTCTTTTTTGTCGGTAAAATAAACTGAAACTGTACAAAGACCCTGAATATTCCCTTTGGAGGCTCTCGAACGCGCACAAAAAAAATGAAAAACGCGATGATTTAAAGACCGCAAGGGCAATTGGGTGGGGTTAGGGCTCGTTACTGCGCTCCGGTTCACTCGTGCGCTATCAAATGGTCCCGATATACAAAATGAAAAATGACTGCGGACAGACTATTCACGTCTAGACATCAAGCATCTTTTAAGATGGGACTTATCGCCTCTCCCTGTTCATGGAGTTGATTCAACGTGTTGACGTCAATTTCGTGATGCCCTGCATGTTGCCGGCACATGTTTCAAAAGGGCCTTTCCACAGCTATGGAGTCCGCCGTCACCTTGTCAACCGTGCGAGAAATGATGTACTTCACAAAAACAAAGAGAAGTTGTTTTCGATTTTCCCCGCCCCCTACCCCCGAAACTCCCCAACAGGACCGCTTCAAAAGTACTCCCCACCCCCGGGCCCAAATGGCTGGACTTGTTCCTGTGGTTGCGCGGGGGATAGTAACAGGTCTAACTAATTGCACCGTGCATCAATGACAGTTTAGCTCAATCAGAAGCCTCTCTTCCCTGGCTAGGTCAAGGTGTGTGCACCTCCTTTAAGCTGTTTTTTTTTTTTCGGTTCTTACTGAAATTTTTGATCTTCAGGAAATTTACAACGACAGGAGCAGGTTATGGGCTTTTTTCCTACCCCTAATCCTACATCACGGGAAACTGGGAAATCCCTCAGGTTAGGCAAGAATTCGATAATCCTTCCATAATCATCCATTTTTTCACCGCGTGAATTGGGTACTTTTTAGCTTATTTCGAGGAAATACTTTTTGCTTCAAATCCAGGGTGGGCTTTTAAACACATTTTTTGAGCCAAATGGTTTTTGCGTGAATCTGCTTACCCGAACTTTTCGTATAAAAAACGACAAATACCCGAAAAAAGCTCGTGTTGTTGGTGGTGGTGGCATATTTCCGATAAATTCAGTTCAATGTCTCGTGAAGAAGAGTTCAGATCCGTCGAAATGCGAGCCCAAAAACAGGTGGTAAGCGGTCAATCTGTGAAAAGTAACACAATCTCCGTCGTTTGAGAGCAGCCGAAGACGCTTTTGCCGATGCTGTGCTTGATGTTTTTTACTTCCAATATCTAGGAGACCCATGCTAAGGTATGAAACATACACTCGTAGGCCTTGTTCTGTCCGCTAAAGTCTAATTCCTGGACGCAGAAACGTTGTGCTTTTTGAAGTTTATTACTCTGCTTTGCCTTTTGACAACCTTACGTGACTCGTGCGTTTGGTAGCAGAAGATGGCTAAACTCTGCTTTTCTTGTTGGAAAACGGCTTTACATTTTATCAGATCGCTCGATAAACACGTGTTTGTTTCTGATAGCTGATAACGTTAAACCACTGTTTCTCAAACTGATTTCTTATTGCATTTTTCTGAGTTTTTAGCATCGGTCCGCTGAGTCTGGAAAGCTCAAATTTCAGAAAAGTACTACTTGTATTTTTTGGCCTCAAAAATTTTCTTTTCAGTTGCCCGTAGTTTTGAAAACAGATTTTGAAAGAAGAGATAACGCTCTTTAACGTGGTATAAGACTGGTTACTGAAATCGAGGTACCAGTCGACGATTTGGGGCTTTGAAATTTGCCATTTTTTCATTGAACGAAAACGTTCAAAATATTGAAAATAATGAAAAATCTCCAAAATATTACATATTCATTCAAACTGAGTAAATCACCACTTAAAATGTGTGCAATTATGTACTCTTCTGAATAAGTTATTTGTTGTCCGCATTACGATGGATTTGAATTTTAAAACGATTTTTTTGTGACACATGGTCTCGGGCCTGGAAAACCCGCTCCGAGAGCCGCGAAACCAATAACCCCCCCGTACGTGGAAAATAATTATCGGATCGAAGTAAAAATTACATTTATGTTAATAGCTTACCTAGTGCTACTTTGTGAATTTTTTTGAGAATTTTCGATTTTTCACTTTTGTAGACCTCTGGTCGATATTTACTGACATCTAGACTGTTCACAGTCCTCTATTTTTCCGTAAGATCTTCGAGATCGAGCACTTTGCGTTACGGGCTGCCATCTTGCATGAGTGTCAAAACTACTTAGGGGGCGGGGGCGGTTTGGGAGGATGTACCGAACTTGTGGGGTACACTCTAAACTCACGAACTCACAACTTGTACTCGACAAATCCTTGTTTTTATTCTTCTCGTGGTTTTCCAACGCGTCGCTAATACTTGTTCTATCTCTCACACACACAAACCTATTGTCTCATCTCAAACGTCTCCGGTTGCAAAACTCGTGATCCTAGCCTAAACGTGCTTACGCAACTTCCGTTCATTACGAGATAAAAATAGTGAAGGTTTTTAAAACACAACACCAGCTACGCAACTTCCGTTCAAGGAAGCGAGAAAAATATTGTAACTGACATCCGCTCTCAAAAAGTTATAAATGAGTCAAAAAAAAAAATGCGCATGTCACAACTTTGAGCCTCGGCGTGTGCACTTCCGGTCGCGTTCACAATGGCATCAATGTCGTCTGTATTGACGGAAAGGGCTTTAAATGCGTCTTTAGCCAGTTTAACGAACCGATCAAACGTTGTCTTATCCATCTCTGCTCTGGTAGAATGAGAGCACCAATTTCTCAGAAGTCTTAGCTGATCAATTGCGAGCGCATACGTTTCATCGATGTTACCGTTCGCGCTAATCACAGAGGAGTGAAACTGTCCAGAAGGATTAGGTCCCCGGGGCTTTATGTACAGTTCATCGAGTGTTTTAAGGTCGCCTTTGCTGTCTCGTGTAGCAAAAGATTTTGCGTAGAGGGTGAATTTACACAGGGCTGTAGTATCCCACTTCTCGTACGACTTGTTTGTGAGAAGTTTGATGCTTTGTTTGCCACCTTCTTTGTTACAAAGTAATTTTCTCACAGCATTAGAGTCGTTCCACTGATGCAATATCCCAAATTTCTTGTTCCATATTCGTTTGAACGTTTGTCGCAAGGCTTTGGGAATTTCCACGACCACAATGGTATCAAACTTGCAATAGTTCAACCACTCATCATCAAGTAGAACCATGCTTCTTTAATGTCCAGAGATCAAAATGGCTTTCCTCGTTGAAACTAGATTCAAAACTTCGAGTTACTAATTACAATGTAAAGCACGGCTGCTTACTCGGTAACTTTGTTAAACCAGCGTACTATACAGCTCCAAAAAACTTGCGAAAACTCTTGCTTGCTAAGACTAGCATGATTTACAATGGTAGCGAGGCGCTGGTTACTGAATAAGCTCTGTATACCTTAGAGATTGTTCTTGAATCACGTAAGAGTAAAGACTGATGTATACATACCTTATTGTCTAAAAGGGACCTATAGCGGACAAATTCAAGTTCGATTGCCTTTAAACCTGATCGCTGAGCTCACTGTGATGAAGGAACCAAGAAAGTCACAGTTCTTCCTCGTGCTGAACGCCTCGAGTAATCTCGCGAAACTGAAAGCTCGGTTGCGGGAAAAACCCCACATTCCTCTCAGCAAAGATCACATCCGGTTCGAAAGTGCCAAGCAAGCACAAAGATGATTAGCCTATCCCCTATCCCCTACCCCTTTCGACGCCTGCTACGCAGGCTAAAAGATGATTAACATACCGTCTTAACGATGCTTTTATAGGAGAGCCGTTGTATTTCCCTAATTGTAACACGTTGAGTTAGACAAAAACCAGCAGTCCACCTTCGTTCTGGTCTTCGTGGTCTCGCCTCCAATAACTTTTTGTTTAGCGGAAATAACCGAATTGGAATTCAATATAACTGAAAGTAAAATAGGGAAAAACCCCGTTTGTGCCCATGACTCGTTGCCAAACGCAGACACACTATTCATCGTATTCGATGTGTTAGTTTCCTACATCTGTACTCCGGTGACAACTTTCGAGCCAGAAAGTTCAAAAACTAATGATGGATGTTAGGGACTAATGTTGTAAATAAAATCGACGAAATGCGAGCGTTCATTGGGTTAGTGCGATATGATTCATTTGTTTTTATTGTTCCACCAAGGTGGGCCAAACGATTTTAACACTGAATTGCACCATTCAACTAAAAGAAAAGTTTGGAAATGTTGTTTTTGCGAAAATAAATACCGCCCGAAGGGTCGAAAATTTGTTCGGATACCGAGCAGAATTCGAGCACAATAAGGGTGTCCGAGCAGAATTTTGACCAGAATAAGCGATTTTTACGAGCTCTGCCGGCATGAGAATAAGCCAATTTACGAGCAGAATTTATCCAAGCCTAACTAGCCTGCGTAAGCATGGCAGTTTTGGTTGGGCGCGCTAAATAATAAAGGAGGGAGCGGGCCAGGAGGCTGGGACGGGAGCTGCTTTCACCGCTCAGTCCCGACAAAACCACGCAAAACCGCCGTGCTACGCGGGCTAAGCACACACAAATACTAATACATTCTATATTCCTACATGCACAACAAGAAGGACAAGTAGTAATTTTTAGACCACACCGTCTTCATAGATTATCTTTCGACACTACGCAGTTTATAACGACCTCACTATTTGCTGGAATATCTGACTGATCACTTAGTTGACCCTCAGGATCGCTCGCTACTGGCACGAAAGTGACAATAAGGTTGGTAAGGCGGTTAACCAAGCCGACTATTTCAACAAGGTCTATGAGGTCATAAATAATGCGACATGTTTACGTATCATTGGATAAAAAAGTTAATGTCGTTAATCATATCAAGTATTAAGTGAAATTACGAGCCAAACGATTTGTCTGGACTGTTTGCGAAATACGATCCCCGACTGTGCAACTTGGAAGATACGCAGGTCACGCAGGCTAGCTAGGGAGTAGACTGCACGGAAAGCGTTTCCGCGCGAGTTCGTCGACAAAGTTGGGACGAGAGCAAACAAAACACACTTGCTACGCAGGCTAGCTAGGGAGACTTTTTAGGATTTGTATCCTCTTGTCATGAAAAGGAAGCAGATCACCGCGACACAACGATTTTTTTAACCGACTACCACGACATGAAGTTTAAACTTACCGCACACCACTTGGACTCTGAAAACCGCAACACCGTACTTTGAAATAAAAATTACCGCAACACTGCACCAAAAATTACCCAATACCGCAAACCCTTAGGCCCCCCTCCTTTAAAAAAAAGGTTAAAGGCAACTCAGAAATGGCCTGATATGGTGTTGAAGATACTGAAAATCGACAAGGACTGCACTATTGTTTACACTGGGAGGATGCGGCGCCTATTCGAGTGAAAGCGAAATGTTTTGTAGAGTTTTAGCCTGCGAGCAAGCTCTCCATTTGGGCGAGTGAAGCGAGCCACGCGAGCGAGCGGCGAAGCCGCGAGGGGCCCCGCCCCCCGTTGTCGCGTCTCCCCTCGCGTGCCACTCGCGCGTCTACTTTTCATGATATTCTCCAAGCTCGCAGGCTTGTAGTGTTTGACAGAAGTACTCTGTTAACTATGTACAACACAATCTACCACGACTTACACCACCAACCCAAATTAATGTTTTTTTTCTTTTAATTTAAAATAGGCAACTACAAAATCTTTTTAGTTAGCTGTAGCAAAATCAACTACAAAGTTATTGCTGCTGTGTGGCGAGCCTCAGTGAAAGATTGTTTAAAAAGAGACGAGCTCTGATGGTTCTTCTTGCACTTTAGCTTTGCCAGCTACAACGCCTGATTCAATGCCGCACTCATCTTTCCCACGGAGAATCTTGAAGTAACCTTACAATGAAAAAAAAAAAAAGAGAGGTTAAGCTTGCATTTTCGCGTTTTTTTTTCGGAGAGTTAAGGCAAGCGTGCAGCAAGCAAGGAGCGCCAGACACGCGCGAGGAGAAAAAAACAGAAAAATTCGCGCGTGTCTTGCGCTCCTCGCTCGCTTTGCTCTTGCCTTCTTGCCTTCCAGAAAAAGACAACGCTTGTTATGCAGGATAAGAAAAGTTTGGGTAAATTAAAAGCTACTTTGTTAATAAAAAAAAAAAATCTTAAGAAAAAGTTGCTTGTTATTTAAGAAAAAGTTGCTTGTTATTGAGGTAAAAAGTTCATGTCATTGCATCACAAAAATTACTTATTTTTTCATATATAATTGAAATGTTGTCCTCTGACTGATAGTCCTAATTGACACTCTCAGTCAACGCGGGCCACTTCTGTAGATGTACCATTTTTTAGACGCTTGTTGTTGCGGCTGGGTTCCCTGCTTCTTCTTCCTGCCTTTAGGTTATCATGTGATAAGCTGCTTTTGTACAAAGTTACTTGACGTAGTGTGGAGCGATTTCACCCGAAGTAACGACGTTTTTGAAGCCTTTCGTTGCCTTTGGTTTGGATTTTGGACAACGTGTAACATCCTTGTTTTGTAAAGATTGAAAGGTTTCTTTGAATAAAAGTGTTAAACGTCCGTTTTCAGCGGATTTGCACCGACAGCAATTGATTGCATATACACGTACGTCCGAGTTCAAAATCTATTTTAAGATACCATAGGCGATACACATCAAAATACCCTGGTTGCACTATAATAATAATTATTAGCGGCGCGCCAGCGAAGCACCATGTGCAAGAAAATCTACCCATCCCAGAAAACTTGGTAATCACGTGACCTTACACCGAGCGAGCGACCGTCCGTCCGCACCACAGGCATACCAGTGCAAAATAACTCAATCAACAGGTATGGCAACCCAAATGCAACTCGAGGTTATTTTGGCGGGAAATCGCATAGCCACACGTGTCACATCTTAAGAGTCAATGAAGACGAAAACGGAAAGTGGAAATTGTTTCTGTATTCGTGTTGTCTAAAGTATGAAGCTTAGATTTAATTGTCATGTCCACAAATTTGGAATATAGAGCAAGAGAAAGACAGAGAAAGTAGACGGCAGGCCAGCGAAGCCCAACGAGAAAAAGGGCGACAGAGGTCTAGAGCGAGAGATAAAAAAAAAAGGAGACATTTTTTGTTGGAAGAACAACATGAAAATTTTGCAGCAGCGGTGACAAAATAGAAAATGCTAGCGGCCGCCAATGTAAGGTAAAAATAAGCAGCAGTGAAAAAAAAGTGAACGAGAACACGTACAACATTTTCTCCAAAAAACGTGTGACTAAGAAGTTTCTGCAAGTTTCACGTTGTAGTCGTGCAAAACAACGGCAAAGAAATGTACAAAAAAAGTGTGCAGCACGTGCAAAGTTGCTTTTTGTTGGTAATTAGACCTATTGTTGTTTTTTCACCGTTCTCGTTGCCTTCGCCGCTTAGCATTACACGATTTTATATTTTGTTTGAACAGGCTTTAATTATTATCGAGAGCTTCGCTTCTAGCCCTGGGCTTAGCCCTGGCCGCCTGGTTAGCTCAGTTGGGAGAGCGCCGGTCTGCTGAGCGGGAGCTCACGGGTTCGTACCCCGCCGGGCCAACATTCAGGGTCTTTAAATAACTGAGAAGAAAGTGCTGCCTTTGTAATGACATCTGCAAACGGTTAGACTTTCTAGTCTTCTCGGATAAGGACGAAAAACTGTAGGTCCCGTCTCACATCACTTACACTTATCTAGTTCTTGTGGGACGTAAAAGAACCCACACCACTGTTCGAAAAGAGTAGGGGACGTAGACCCCGGTGTTGTGGTCAACCTTCACTCATCACATCATTCATATCATGGGTTGGGTGGGTACAGTAAGCTCATAAATGGACTGAGAGCAGCTGCCAGTGGCGCCTTTGTATGCTGACGTCCGAGCTTACTGTTCACATGTTAAAATGTATTGTAAGAGGGCACGTCTGTTGTCCTCACATCCACGACCCTTCATTTCATTTCGTTAAATCTATATAATTTATTAACATGACTTGACAAATCGATTCAAATATATATAGTGCATTAACTCGACAATTACCTTTATCTCCCCAGTCTGTGTTCCAGGAATTTGCGACCAGCCTACAAGAAACAGGTAAGTTTACCTAACCAAGCTTAAACAAATACCAAAAATATCATGTCAAAAGTTTCTCACAGATACTCTGTTCATGTTGTTCTTCAGCAACACAATTAAAAATAAAAAACTGTTCTAGTGAGGCCTTAAACTGCTGTTTAAAAGTAAAATCTAAAATCAAACTTTTCGCCGATCAACGGCACATCATCCCGAAATTTAAAAATTCTGCGATGGCGACCGCCCTTTTTATCTAATCTATTGTTGCCCCACTTCCTGTTGTTGTCCTCCTTCTACCTACCCTCTCTCCCCTCCTCCCTGCCCTTTTATGGCCCTGGGCTCTGTTTCCCAAAACGGTACGGAAACTTTACGGGCCCAAAGGTATTTTAAAATCAAAACTTTGACCTTGAATGTAAAACCACACACAAAACAGCTTTGGGGACCCAAAACGTTACCAGGACTTTTGAGAAACAGGCCCCTGGGCAGAAGTTAAGTTTGTGCACTTGCCACACTGCAAAACAGCCCGTATTTTAGCCTAAGTTAAGAACGCCCGCGCGTGTGGTCAAAGAAAATGCCTGGAGTGAGGGCGAAAACAGAGAGTGAGACTGTGCCCCACTTTGACACTCAACTGAGGCCCATGCGCTTTCTGCCCGCAACAAAAACAAACAAACAAACAACAACACCAACAGAGACAGCAACTGTTTTGTAGTACAGACCCTCCTCCCCTCCCTTCTCTGATTTTTCCTGAGGGGAGGGGAGGAAGTTCTGTACACAGGCTACTGTATTGCAGTCTATGCACTTACCAATATGGATCACCACCCTCTACTCCCCAGCCAAGGATCTTAATAGCATGTCCTCCAAGAGCACCTCCACTAGTGTGACGATACACACCTACAATGACAAGAAAAGAAAATCAAAGAAAATGAAAATAAATTAACATCTATAACAAGCAATATTATAATTATTACTTAAAATTGAAGGCAAGGCTGCTTGGACTGCTAAGGGTTGGTAATTTACAAATATATTTGCCCAATATTTCGACTAGACAAAACTAGTCCTCATCAGGGCGTAGAAAAGCTAAGTGAAAACAGAATAAACGGTTGCAGTATATAAAATAATACAAATAATTATTATAGAGTGTTTTCACTCACGTGGCCAGCATCTATGCAAATTGATTGGAACAAAAGAAAGCGTTTGTATTAGAAATGAGTTCAACTCCCACAGGACTGATTTGGGACACCAACATGGCTGCCGTTTCATTGTTTTGGGACACCAATATGGTCGCCGTGATGTCATGTCGAAACACTCTATATGCGGTAGTATTTGCTTTGGATTCAAGGAGAAACCCTTTGTGAGAGTGATATAGGTTAACCCCTTTAAGACCCAATATCCACTTACAAATTCTCCAAACTGGTCTCTAGGCATTTCTATAGACATTAAGTTGAGAGAATTTGATAAAAGATCAAGGCTGTGCTCTAAGGAAAATTGAAGGGAGCCCAATGCTCTGAACTTAGCATATGATTTGTATGAAAATTCTGAGATTTTCTACCTGCCCAAGAGCAAAAGTTTATGAATACTCTGACTGTATGATTTATTTTTGTTTGACCTTTCTTCTCTAGCCTGCATTGCAGATGTAGTCTAATCCCGGTTAGTAACGTCTGCAAAGCAGTGCCAAGATCCTTGCTCTGGGCTCCCTACAGACTCAACAATTACTGGGAGTGCATTTTGAAATTTCCCTTTAACCTGATTGGAAAACCAACAATGGCTTTTTCAACAGGCCAACTATGGCGCATACTCAAATCCTGGTAGACAGGTGGCAGCCCAGTTAAGGATTTTGGCAGTTTTTCACAGGGGT